TAAAATTATAACTGCATCTGATAATTTTTAATTTGCTCGAGCCTGCTGGTGCTCCCCACTGTACTTAACAGAGATTCTAATTGCCAACATTTTTGTTCCAAACAAACTAAATTCCCTTGTTAAATGTCTCCCACATAGCTTACTTCATTCACACTGTTGTTTTATTTCCCCCTTTCATCGTGCTGACTTCCTCATCTGATACTGGCTTTAGTCTCCAGGCACTGGATGCATTATTTCCTTAATCATCTGGCTTGTGGTATCTTCGGGTCACGGACTATTTTTGCTAGTAAACGTTTGAGATCTGTAGCTAGCGTTTTACCTATTCGTCTTTGAACTCTGTAGCTGAGGAGTCAGTCTTGCTGGAATGGTGATTTATGCCTTTTCATGTTTACGGTTTTTGTTAAAATCCTATTTTTAGTGCGTGCATTCGTGTATGTCATGGTGGGCCTTTGGTCAGGGAACAACTCTGGAGAGTGGTTATCTTCCTTCCACTGTGGGGTCCAGGGACTGAACTCAGGTTGTCAGGCTTGCGTAACGTCGTAGTGAGTCTCATTAGGGAAAATGAACTGAGGAGTTGCCATCCGCTTGGCTGGGGAGGCATTTTCTTGATTGTTCAGGCTACTGTGAGCAGTGCCGTGCATAGGCAGGCAGACCTGGGCTGTAAGAAAGGCATCTTCATAGAAGGCAGGGAACGGCATTTCGCCATGGCCTCTACTTCAGTCTCTGCCTTGACTTCCCTCAGTGGTAGATTGTGACCGGGGAGTTGTAAGATGAAATGTACCCTTCCTTCCCAAGCTGATTTTGGTCAGTGTTTATAGAAACAAGGACACCAGAGAAGAGCTTTTATTTGTTAAGCCACTTCATTGGCCCTACTGTGTTTTTGTGTTATGATTAGTTTGGCTATAATTTCTGGTTTTAACTGAGGCTCTTTCAAGTGACACCTTGTTCTTGAGGGATTAATCTCCAATACGATTCATTGAGCAACTAGTGTAATGGTAACAATGTTAAACCACATAAGATACAGAAATACACTCAAAATCAAGTAGAGTCAACTAACACACAACCAATGACAAAAAAGATATATAGTACTATGAAGTTAAAGAATATTATGAAAAATTAATCAGGCTAAAAATGAAAAAAGTAAATGAATGAGATTAAGGGGATAGGGCCAAAGGAAAATAAGAGGAGAAACAGGGTTAAGAATTTAAATATGGAATGAAGAAGAATGCTACAAAAAGGCAAAACTGTTAGAAAAAAAATCTAGAATAATTTTTAACAATAAGAAAATTTATAAATGTAGAAAACAAACATTAAAGCATAAAATTTTTTTTGAAAATAAATTTGTAAAACCAAAAGATTAGACAATACTGAAAAGTATGTAGAAACCAGGTAAATCGCATGGAGAATAAAAAAGGAAAGCAAGTTTTAAGATACATTAACATAAAAATATATCCCCGGAGAGATGGGTCAGTGGCCATTATCACTGACTGACTGCTCTTGTAGAGGGTGTGGGTTTGACTCCTACCACCCACATGTGGCCCACAACTGTTCCTAACTCCAGTTTTAGGACATCAGATGCCATCTTCTAGCCTCAGTAGGTACCAGAGCGCATGCACACAAATCACACACACACACACACTCTAAGCAGAACACTCATCCATATAAAACTAAAACAACCCAATAAAGTAAAAATACTCCTAAAAGAATAATAAAAAGAAAACCCAAACCAAATAACCAGGGACATAGAAGGGAAAATATTCAGTGTTGGAGTACCTTGTTTCCTGGGTCTTTGAATTTCACGATTTGTACCACAGTTAAGGTTATTTCTGCCCAGTGGCCAATGACTGCTGGTACAGGCTTCGGTTCTGTACTTTTTTTTACATCCTGGGGCCTCTGCTGGCCACACTGAAACCTTCAGCCTGGTCTGCGCCGGTTTCCTCCTACCCTTCCCACTCTTCAGTTCAGCGCCCCTTGGAGTAGGCAATGCCATGGCTGGGAGTTGGTTCTCAGATTCTGGGGGATCTGTACAGGCAGAGCTATTTGCACTTTCATCTTGCTGATTCCTCATCCGACACCGGCTTCTGTCGCCAGGCACCAGGCGCATTTCCTGTATCATCTTGCTTGTGCTATCTTTGGGTCATGGATGGAGAGCTGATGTCAAGTCTTCTCCCTTGGTTTTGCAGTTTAAACTCAATAGGCAGCTGGTTGTAGAGGCTGGTCTACTGCAGTCTTCAAGCCCAGTGTCTTAGTTAGGGTTACTTACTATTACTATGATCAAATACCATGACCAAAAGCAAGGTGGGGGGAGGTTTAGGTGGCTTTAGCACTGCTGTTCACCACTGAAGGAAGTCAGGATAGGAACTCAAGCAGGGTAGGAACCTGGATACAGGAGCTGATGTAGAGGCCATGGGGTGGGTGCTATTTACTGGCTGCTTAGCCTGCTTTGTTATGGAACCCAGGACCACCAGGCCAGGGATGGCCCCAACCACAATGGGCTGGGTCCTCCCACATCATCACTAATTACCATACTGGCCTCTCTCCAGCCTGATCTTAGTGAGGCAGTTGAGGCTCCCTTCTCTCCAGTGACTGGTGCCAGTACCCCCAGGGCTACTGAACTCCTTCTTATTATTATTGTTTGATGATGTCTGCTTCCAGTCACTGGTGTGGTGCTCTTTCAGATGTCAGGATTCTTGCTTTACACATCTCTCTTGAGGGTTGTCTCTCACCTTGACATGGTGGAAGGTTGGATTCTGATATGCTAACTGGATTGTTCCATGTTCTTAGGCCCCAATTAGCTCAGTTTTACACAAGAGGTGTCCTCTCAAGACAGCATTTGAGTAAAGCTCTCTTTTCTGGGCTAGGAAAGTATTTTTCTTTCTTTTGGCGATTTACTTTAAATGAAATTATTCAAAGTGCGTGCCCACAGAGACCAAAAGGTATTGGATCTCCTGGAGGTGGAGTTATAGACCTGGGAACTGGAAAGGGAACTTAGGTCTCCAGAAGAATAGTACTCACTCTTAACCACTGAGGCATCTTTCCAGTCAATTAGGAAGCCCTCCTAATGTTAAAAGTATTCTGAGCTGCAGGCTTTCTTCACTTTGGTTCACTGTTCTCATGTTTCCCCACAATTCCCAGCGGCCTCACACTCCTGCTGTGCATCTCTGCAGTTGCTCCCATTTTTTTGTCTTTGGAATACATATGGTCTATTTTCCTTAACCTGACATTTCTGCTTCACTGGGCCTCACGGAGTCACTCTGGAGACTGCAGTCTTAACTGGAAGTCTTCACGAAGTTCTAAGACTATAACTCTGCATTACATTACTTCAATCTGATTTTGAAATGACTAAGAAGATGTGGGTGCAGCCACCTATTTAGGAGCTCATAGTCACTTGTAATTCCAGGAGATCTGACACCCTCTTCTGGCTCCAGAGGGCACATGTACAAGTGGCATACACTCAGAAAGCCACAAACGAGCTCATGTGCACATGCACACACAAATGCCTAGAAATTCTAGTTAAAGCAGAGATATGAAAACACAATTTGAAATAAATAAGTATAAATGCAAGTTCAACTTTATTGAAGCAATTTGGCTGCATTTATCAAGACTGAACTGTACACATGACATGTAGTCAACCACTAGAAACTTACCAACTGAAATACTTGTTCAACAGTGAATATTATAAGGAAAGACAGTGCATAATAGTTGGTAATAGTAAAACCATGAAAACTGCTTGTGTGCCTCTTGGTAGTGAACTAGTTTATATACACAGATGATGGAATACAAGACAGCCATTTAAAACACGAGGTAGATTGACATGTATGACATGCATGGACCAAATGGAATGGCCTTTAAGATAAAACTAATAAGCCAGGTGGAACCAGGAGGGTCAGGAGCTCAAGGTCATCCCCAGCTACACAAAAAGTTCGAGGCTGGTCTGGGTCTCACACAAGATATCTGCAAAAACAAACTGCACCAAACCAGAAAAGTAAAAACATTGACTGATTACATAAAAGCATCCTGGGCTGGAGAGACGCCTCAGCAGCGAAGACCGCAAGACCCATGTTCATTTTCTAGCACCCATATTGGGCAGCTTACAATACCTGTAACTTCAGCTCTGAGGGATCCAACACCCTTCCTGGACTCTGTGGGAACCTCATACACATGGGGATGGGGGTGATGGTGGGTACACACACACACTTTCTCTCTAAAAAAGGCATCTATTTAATAAAATATACATTAAGTATCCAAAAAGGGAAGGCACTGAATGAACAGTGTATCAAAGGAAAAGTTTCAATCTCTTCTTCAGAAGAATTAACATGGGGACCGGTGGGAAGGTTCAGTAGGTAAAAGCTCTTGCCATAAATTTAGCCTGATGACCTGAACCTGATTCCCAGGAACCCACACAGAGAACAGAGCTCAGCAAGATGTCCTCTATTTATACGTACACACATAAAATAAAAAGGTAATAAAAAAGTAAAATACAAAGCACTTAACAGTGATTATCTTTAGACAGTTGAATAAAAAATAGGTAAGGTAGTGGGAGAGTTCTCCTTCCTTGTTATAGCATTAAATTGCTAACATTATTTCACCAGGGGTTAAATGTACAGGCAGAACTGGCTTTTTTTCCTTTGCATTTCTAAAAAGCAATAATTATTTACACACACACACAGACACACAAACAGGTTAAAACATACCTAACAGAAACATACACACATATACACAGATGCACTTAATTTAAGAAGAGCATCATGCCTAGACAATTTTTTTGAGGCAAGGTCTCATGTAATTCAGGCTGGCCTTGAATTTAAGCAGCACAGGATGACCTTGAACCTCTGAAGAACTAGGAGTACAACGGGCACCTGCCACCACCTGGCCCTGATGCCTGTTTTAAAGTACAGCACGCAGCTCAGTTAACATTACCTAAAGATCTCAAACCACTTCATTAGTATTCATTAAAACTCAGAAAGGTTTCCATGTCACATGTCCATAGTATCAAAGCCCGTAGAAGACCTTCCCAAGCGTCTCTTCTTCAGATGCCACTCTTAATCCACATGACCTTGCTGTCCTCACACATCAGCTTCAGAGGCTGGTCTTCTGATCAGGTCACCAAAATATGCAGTGATCGTCTTTAATTTGTTATTAAGAAAGTTCTGCTCTATTTCTACTTGCCCTCCAGGACCAGCCAAGGATGCCACCTGCCAGGAAGAGAAGAGTCACGGTCTCATTAAGTAGCACTGGCTAGCCTACTTACTCAGTAGACCAGGCTGTCCTCAAACTCAGATATCCTGCCTCTGCCTCCTTAGATTGAAGGCATTCACTGCCATGCTCAGACAAACATGATTTTCCAAAGTTTTTACTTGCCCAACTTAAACTACCAGTAAGAGAAAGACTGTCTTTCTATGTAAGTCCTTCATGTAAAGGAGCATCTCATTCACCTCTGCCTGCCAGGAGTGTTACTAATGTAGTACCTGGTATAGAAATACCTGCTTCAGACTGCCTGGCAGGAGTCAGATCACTATGCTATGCTGTTCTAAAGATGCCATCTCTCCAAGTGCCATAATGTAAGGATTCAGAGGAAGAGAAAGTGGGCAAAGCCTGCACATGCCATGTCTTTTTTTAGCATAGACATCTAAGAACTCACTTTCCTAAAATACTTACCTTTATTTTTTTTCCTTTGTACCTGGAGGCCAGAAACCAACTTGTATGGGTCACCATATGGGTCCCAGGGATTGAACTTAGGTTATCAGGATTGGTGGCAGGCCCTTTACACGCTGAGCATTATCACCTATTCCTAAGACCCCCCCACTCATATTACGTGCTCAATTGCACAATGTTTACTGGTTTTTGAGTAGGGCCTGCACTTTTCTAATTATCTCTTTCCTTGACTCTTTCAACCTTGCATTGCTATTTCCTTTCATTTAAAACCTCACATATGGATGAGGCTGGAGAGATGGCTCTATGGTTAAGACCACTGACTGCTCTTCCAAAGGAACGTAGTTCAATTTCCAGTACTTAGTACCTACATGGTAGCTCACAACCATCTGTAATTTTAGTCCTAGAGACCTGAGGCCCACCTCCATGGGCACTGTATGAACATGGTGCATAGACACACAGGCAGGTAGAACATCCATACTCATAAAAATAAAAAACCCACGCATGGATACATTTTTTTTGTTTAAAAGAAAAATGCTGATTTCCCCCTGCAGCTTATTTCATAGCAAGCAGTTTTATCATTTTCCAGTATCAGTCCTCCCTCTAGAGGCAGAAATCATGAACCACAGGGGCACTGAAGTAAGACGTGAGTGCATATGGAAATATGGAGGCTAGAGGTAGATGTCATGTGTCTTCCTTTCCTCGGCTGCTCTTCACCTATTTTTCTGTACTAAATGAGCCTCGTTCCTACAAGTCTAATTCTAATAGGTGTTGTGGATAAAAGCAAAAGTAAAAAAGCAAGCTAAATTTTCTTTGTGTTAAAACAAATTTAATCACTGAAAGTTTCATAATAAAAAGTGATTTTCTAGCTGGGGCAGAGGCAGGAGGACCCCTGAGTTCAAGGATAGCCTGGTCCACAGAGTGAGTTCCAGGACAGCTAGGGCTGTTACAAATATAAATAGTCTTGAAAAAGTGTTATAAAAAAAGTGGCTTTTCCTATTGCTTCTGAAATACCCAAATGAGTTTGTCTATATATACTTCTAAAGACCATGACTTAACCCATGAAGATCATGTAGCTGTGTGGGACATAGGACATGGCAGCCTAAATCTAGAAAGAAGTTAGGCAACTAACAGCTAACAGGCTCAACATGGAGGCTGATCTAAGAAACTCACAATCCCGATGATGTGAGCCACATCTTGGGAAGCTTAATGTTTGGTCAAATAGATCAGAGATAAATGACAGAAGGCAAGGTAGAATTTCCCTTTCCTCTAACTTGGTACTCAACTTTTTATTCATCCTTTTCATAACCCAGAGAATTTCAACTGTGAAACACATTATAATTACTTGGGGAGCTAAAAACAATTTATGCTTGGGCCTCATCCTAGAAAATAAAGCAGAGAATCTTTCTTAGTGGGAGAAATCTATTCATCCATGAGTTGAAGAGACAGACTGAAGTGGTTTAGATGGAAAAAGTATAGCCTAAAACACTGGAACTACACCAAAGGCCAACACAAGTGTATGCTCCAACAAAAGAACCAGAGATAATAAGGAGGCAGATCTCCGTGAGTTCAAGGCCAGCCTAGTCTATAGAGCTAGTTCTAGGCTACACAGAGAAATCCTGTCTTGAAAAACAAAAAAGCAAAAAACAAAACGAAAACAAACCCAAACAAACCAAAAAACACAAAACCCCACCCCCTAAAAAAACCACGACAACAACAACAAACCCCCAAACAAACAAACAAATGAGATGGCAAGGACAGTTAAAATTGTTCCCGTTAAAAGCAGTTGCTTCCTTCTTTCCCTTCCTACTCATAGCGACCTTCCTGTCTTAGCTCAAGTGCTAACATTATGAGTCACTACACCTTGGTAAGGCCTTATCTTTTTAGCTGGGATCAGTAAAGTGGGCCTTGGAAAAGTTATCATGCAGCATCTGTCACCCTATCAGACCATCTTCATAAACCCCAAGGAACACCGGGTTCCTCAGGAGCTGTGGTGGTGGACAAGCCGGGGGCTTCTTTCTCACAAGCACGTTCTCTGGTAAGGAAATGATCCTTTATCCTTTTCTGCTTCTTTCTAACAGGTAAGCAGAGAAGAGCAGTTTCCCCAGCAATGGCTTACCTGGTCAACATCAGCGTTTCTTGGAAGAAAATAAACAATATTATTGGTAATCTTCTGAGAAAGTCTGAAAACTTCAAAGGTGAAGAGAAGAACAGTTAAGGGAAAAACACAAATTCTGGGCAGAAACATGTTCATTATTGGTCACAAATCAAGTGCATTTTGGTAACTAACAAAAAGGTACAAATTTCAATCCAGAGAATTACAAGATTCTGGAATTCAGCGGCAATAGTACAGATTGTTTGGAAGATTTGGCTGCTTTAGTATAAGGCAGTGTGAGTTGAAGATCATCACCTGCAGGGCTGAGGTTTTGAAGAAACTTTCAATTTGTGCTCATTCCAAACAGTAGGTAAATCTCTTTATTCTCAAGGCAGGTTCAGTAGAGGCATACCCAGACCTTGGGCAGTTCAACCTTGCAGCTTCGGTATCATGTCAATCTATCTTCCCAAAACCCTAGCAAACGCCTAGCTTTACAATGACAAAATTAAACAGGAACAGAGGGGTCTAAAGCTGTAGATCAACCAATACACAGTCTTCACATCGACTGTTTTTAAAGTTTTACTTATCATTATTATTAGAGTCTGTGTATGCCAGAGGACAACTCTCTTCTTTCAGCTTTACATGGGTTCTGGGATTCAAACTCAGGCTGCCAAGTTTGTGTAGCAAGTGCCTTTACCAGTTGAGGCATCTAGCTGGCTCCACATGAACTGTTTTCTGAGTAAAATACAATAAATTATCAAATGTGATTAGTTAATGCCTTTCCTCTATTACACACGTATACACACACACACACACCCTTTCTCCTCTCTCAAAGCATTTATATAGACTATTAGGATTTTCAAAGGATATCCATCAGGAAACATCATTGTCCTAATATCGAAGATCTCTGCAGTAGCATAATCTGGTCCACCCCAAGGCGGGCTTAGGAACACAACATCAGCCTTTAAACAGGGAGCCAAGAGTAGGAAATCTCCACAGATAAACTCTATCTTATCTGCTATCCCATAAACTTCAGCATTATTACGAGCAAGATCAATCTTAACAGGGTCGATATCAATGGCAATCACTAAAAATTGAAAAAGAAAAAAAGTCAGTTGACATTATGTGCGAGTTCATCATTCTAGTAATCTGGGTTTCTGAATAAAGCACTCAAAACAAGGCTTAAGGGACATTAGTGACACATAAAAATTTTGGTTCAAATAAATTTAAATTAGAAAGGCTCACTTAGAGTTGTAGCAAGAAACCATGATTTACACAGGTTTCCATGTTTTCTTGCCTAGCCATCACCCAAAGCAACTGCCACAAAACATGAATGGCCTTGGGGTGTCGGGGCTATGCACAGTTGGAGCAGTAAGTGCTTACATATGCTATTATTTGCATGTAAAGTCCAATGCTAGCTTTCAGAAAGACCAATCTCCTTAAGATGAGTCAATGTTTCTAGCCTAGGTCATCACAGCACTAGGAAGGCCCAGTACTGACTACTTGCTTCCTTTTCTCCTCAGGGTTTGGTGATTTGTAAGAGTGATGTGATAAAATGACACCAGAGGTTATAGAGCAATGGTTCTCAACCTTCCTAACACTGAGGCCCTTTAATATAGCTGTATGTTATGGTGACCCCAACCATAAAATTATTTCATTGCTACTTGATGACTACAATTTTGCTACTGTTATGAACTGTAATATAAATATCTGATATGCAGGAAAACCGATATGATATCCCTATGAAAGAGTCTTTCAACCCCCCAAAGGGTCATGACCCACAGGTTGAAAAGCACTGCTATAAGAGTTTGACAATGAGAACACGGATCTAACCTTCCTTTAGGAGCCACACTGCACTCCTTTATCAAATGTGTGTTAAGCTACATAACTTGGTAACAAACCTCAATTAAGAAGCCAATCTACGATATGCATGTTTTTCACATTAAAGAAAATTTCCAGACTTGCTTTGTCATTGTGCAGATATTTAATCATTGTCCTATGACAAAATGTTAAAAAGGAAACCGTTGATAACTTTTTCATGCAACACACATATAAGTATGCATGTATGTAGCTTATCAAAAAAAAAAAAAAAACTTGAGAATTTTGAAATACTGAATTAATAGAAGACAAAATCATTGTTATCTGGTAAATGTGAAAACTGCTTTAATCTGGGTTACCGGGAGACCAACGATGTCACAGCTAATGTCACATGTGCCTGGAGCATTAGAATCAAGGCTACATACAGCTCATCAGTCTGGTCTTAAAACCAATGGGCAAACTCACCCTATCTTTGTTTCCAGATTCACATTTGGTTTCCTAATTAACATTAAAAAGTTCATATAAATTAATGAGATTCTGCTGAAACCCATTTAACCGAAAGCCACAACTTCTGGTGGGTATAATATGAAGATACTGTGAGAAAAATGCCTTTAGAGTATGATTTGGCTGTTTTTTGTCTCCAAAGCACTGGGATAACATAGGAGCCACAAAGCAGTACACTGGGTAAGGGCTCTACGAGAATACAACTTCAGTCCCAGGCATTTAAAAAAAGGGGGGGTTGGGGTGGTGTCAGGGGCATGGTCTCTCTGTAGTTCATTAGTCTCAAACTTGCAACCCACTTCCCTGTCCCCCAAGTGCTCACATGCACGACTATATTTCACGAGAACATTCTATTAATTTTTAAAAGTGTTTACTTAGTTATTTCTGTGTGCGGTGGCAAAACCCGTTGCCCACCAAGTTACCTCACTGCCAAACAGTCCAGTTGTTAAATAAAGCTTTGTTCCCTGAGAAAAAGCACACCAGACACTTGACAGTAATTAGCAGACTTTTCCTCCTGGAGATGTTTTCCTCCTGGTTCCATGGGTTAAAAAACCACAAGGATGACACACTATTCAAAGATTGTTTAGAGCTTTGGGATTTCACAGTTGAAAAGTATCACAGGACTATGTGAACTCAATGGTCCTTCAAAGTCGAATGATGTCAAAAGCCATAAAGCCACTGAGTCACAGAAAATGCTTGTTTCCCCACCCATTGTTCTTTGATTCTAAAAAACCCTTATGTGGTTTTGTTTTTATAGACTGCTAGACTCTTGGCTCCAAAGATTAGTATGTGTCCATACAATCCTGTGCAATTATTTATCTTATTAGGTCTCAATTTATCTGTGAGATGAAGATAGTAAGACGTAATTTATGACGGTTAATTTATGACAAACATATTAAGGGCTTACTAAACATGTTATGTAATATTAACAATGAACACAAGCTATTGCTTTAAATACTTGGTATGAAATTAATAATTATATGTTAAATCTCATCAAAGAAATGCACAAAAGTAGCAAGTACTGTGTAAAATGGAACTAACACAGTTCTCTGTACCTCTTTTCCCTGTTAAGGCAAACTGGATGGTGTTTCCTCCAACTCCACAGAAAGCATCCACTATGATGTCACACTCGAAGGACTGACTGACACGGCCAGCAATATGCTCAGCAATTTTCTCAGGCGTAACTGAAAACCAGCCCTCTGTAAAGGAGAGGTTTTTATAAAATCTCCAATTCCAAGAATGCCAGTATGAAAAAAAAAAAAAAACACTGCTCAAGGTTAAAAACAAACAAACAAAAAAAAAAAAACTTTGGATACGGAGCAATTGCTTAGTGGTCAGGAGCTTGGTTAAAAGCCTCTTAGGGACTTGTTGGTTTCATGTCCACAGTCACATAGCCACCTCTAACCTCAGCTCTGGATCTGAGCCCTCCTCCCTCTGCACACAGGTGTGCCCCATACAGACACTCATAAAAAAACCGCAGTTTCTCTTTGAAACACATACAAATTATGTAGCTTTAGAAAAAGGTACAACAAAATTGCTAATTCCTGACTCATCCTTAAGTTATCCATATTTCTCCAATACATGTATTACAGCTTTTCTGTTTGAGGCACTCCCTACTGCTTATGAGCTATGGGAAACAGTAAGTTCTAACTGGTTTCTCAATTATTTTATTCACAGTGGAGAGGTAATGAGAGAGATTTCTATGGATATTTTGAGGACATTTATGTTTTCAAAAAACGCATGACAAATTTACAAGTTTTTAAGTGCAGAAAAAGCCAATGACCAGGAGGCTGCTTCAGCATAGCAAGAAATAGCAGAACCCTTGCCATCCTCAGAAATGAAGCCACACTTAGCCAAGGAAAGAAAATACCTGCCTTTCTTTCTACCAAAGAGTCTGTTTTTCTCAGAAAGAGATTTATATTCTCCTGTTTCCACCATTACAAACTTTAGATGGTTCTTCATTGCTATAAGAGTTGTTAATGCCTAAACATTTTATTTATCCTTTTCCCTAATTTCCTTTTTTTCTCCTAATAAATTTCTGCACCACACTATTTTACAAATTATACGGGGGCATAGAATCACCTGTACTCCACAACAGACCTCTTGATTTTGATAGTTAACAAAGAGAGATGCTTAGTCTCAATATGACAATGAGTGTCAGTCTGAGAGAATAATTTAAGTGTGTTAAAAACAGAGGATGGAAAGTCAATGAAGAATTCAAGTTTTCAGGGCTAACCAACTAAATTATAACTTTCTTCATCTGGTATATCTTCATCAGATGGTCTTTTTAATAACCTATAAACTTTTGCTACTTTGCTCATGATGCTACAAATACGGATTAACCCTGAGGTTAAAACACAGTGGTATACATGCCATGCTGGAGGGTTGCCTCAGTGGTGGAGCACCTGAGCCAGGTGAGGCCCTGGGCATGAGTCTGAGGAACCTTTACAGATTAAAGGAAGCTAAAGAAACATGAAAACTAAACGCACAAAATGCTGCTTTATGACAACATATGGGTTTAAGAGATAATTTATGATCTTTGTTTTGTTTTCTTGTGGTACTAGGGACTGATCCCAGGGCCTTGATTATTGTCACAGAAAAGCCCCTTGTTCTTAGAAAATGCACACTGAATGAATAACGGGAAGCGGCATGATATAGGCAACTGGATCAGAAAGACAGCATGCATACAGAATAAAAATTATAAATGTTGGAAATAGCTGAATCCAGGTAAAAAGGATATGAAAATTGTTTTACAAGTTTTCTAAAACTTTAACTGGTTTTTAAATAAAGCTAAACAACACACATATATTTTATTTACCTTTGTCTAACTTGATCCCATCATCGAAACGAGAGAAGAGCCTGTACCTCTGGGCCCAGTATTTTGCCAGCTCGGGAACAGAGGCTATTTCAGGTGGCAGACCATTTATTTTTTTGTTCTTGCCTTTTTTTTTCTTTTTCTTCTTCTTCTTCATTTCAACTAAAATAAGATGAGACAATACAGATCTGACATGAAAAAGTGCCAGTTTTGGACGGCATGAGACATACATGCAGTGACACAGAGAAGCATGAGGGTTAGACAGCACCAGCATTTCGGGTAACAGCTGGCTGAATGCACAGATTTTTAATCACTTCCTACGTATAGCACTGATGGGAGATGAAGGTTAAACACCCGAAATGCCCCAAATCAGAACCCTGAAACACATCTGGTCCCTACCACCACGTCACATACAGGATACTCAACCCATATACAAAAGCACTAACAAAGGTCTAAAAATTATCAACAGCCACGACACTGCCTTATTTGGTGAATTACAGAAAATGTAGTCTATTTTCTTTACTCCTTTTGTTGCTGAATATGCTACAGAATTGAACTCAGAACCTTGGGGTAGACAACACTGACTGAGCTACATCCCTAACCATCTGTTTTTTTTTTTTTTTTTTTTTTAAGGATACATCTGTGTAATTTTTGTCCAGGTCAGTATTAAGCTTTCAGTCCTCCTGCTCTGGATTTCTGAGCAGCTGAGGTTGTAGGTGTGTGCCCTTTTCACTTTAAGACAAAACCTTTCCATTAAGTTCTAGCCCTGGCCATATGGATTCTAGAGAACAGAGGTGCCTCAGGAGCATGGTCAGGTTTCAGGGGATAATTATTTTGAAAGACAATTACTAGTTGATTATTAGGTTTCAGAAGATTAGAAGCAGTAATGCATTTGTGCTTGAAGATGGATGGAAAGCGCTGCCACAGAGTAAAAGCAAGATGACAGTGGACAAACAATGAGGCTCTCTCAATGTCTTTAAGGATCTGGACACGAGGTCACCCCAATTGTGGAAATGTTAGGGAACATTACTGCTTTTCACCCACCTCAGCAGGCTACTAGAGAGGTTAAGAACAAGGCACATGCATGTCAGCTGTTATAACAATGGTAAGGAAACACCACAGCATGCCTGAAGCATACAGTTTAAAAAGGTAGGAGACACATAACAGGAGATTTAGGGACATAGGCATCCACACAAAGGAAAGGAATCAACTAGCTGGCTAGTTTTATGCCAACTCGACACAAGCTGTAGCCATCTCAGAAGGGACCTCAACTCAGAAACTGCTTGCATAAGATAGGGCTTTAGGCAAGCCTGTAGCTGCCACCCCTGGGTTGATGGTTCTGAATGCTCTAAGAAAGCAGGTTGAGCAAGCAGCAACCAGCACTCCATTGACATCTCTGCATCAGATCCCACCTCTAAGTTCCTGCCTTGGCTTCCTTCAAAGGACTGTGACTCAGGATACATAAACCAAATAAACCCTTTCCTCTCCTACTTGTTTTTGGTTATGGTATTCATCAAGGCAACAGTAACCATAACTGAGACACCTAGCTACTCTAACTTTAAAAGGAAAGGCCATTTGTTTCAGAGGGACAAATGTGGATCAGTTCAACAAATTGAATAATATACCAAGTAAAAATGTTTACCTGCAATGTCCCATCAAATATTTTCATCTTTATTGATAAACCCATTAAAAAATACAAAAGGTCATTCATGAAAACGTTAGGTTTATACTTATTAGTGCCAACTACTATAATTATTTTGTTAATATTCTATCAAACAGTTCCAAATCATTACAAAAAAGCAATTATCAAGAAGAAAATGCATGCTTCACCAATTTCAGTAGGCCATGCCACTGTCAGCCAGGGACAGAGTAGCAGCAGAGATCAAGGTCCACATAGATAAAAAGTGAAGAATACTACTCATTGCCAAATCACAGCCTAACATGCCTTCTCTCTATTTAAAAAATCTTTAAAATGAATCCAGAGGCATAAATGCTGTAAGTGAGAACAAAGGAAAATAACCAAGAAAATGTACAAGGGGTTATTCTTACCTCCCGTTTCTGCTTGGGGAGAATTAGTTATTTCTTCCATTACAGAATCCTGCTTCACCGGGGCAGTGGTGAGGGAACCTCCTTCACTCTTTTCTGCCTCAAGCTCACTGGTTGACGAGATGGTGTGACCTCTGCCAGGCTCTGGATCTCTGGTCTCCATTGGGCCACCAGATTTCTCCGAGGGCATGTCTTGCTCCTCAGAGTCACTGCTTGTGCAAGACTCTTGCATTTTGTTGTGAGAAAGCGACTCCTGTGAGGTCTCATCTACTGGTTCATTAATCCATTTAAGGAATTTTTCCACCTGAAATTTTAAGATATTATTAGGAAACTGTAAAGAACACAGTTTATCTTTTTACTTTTTACTTGACTTGATTAACAAGCAGTCCTAACTATTAGCTCAGGGAAGTACAATGTATCAAACAAGCTACAAGTAATTCTGGGCTATATGGAATTTAGGAGAACACCCAATGATCTTATTAAGAATTCCTTACAAAGAAAGAAACTAACAGGTTAAGAACTCTAAAAGAGCTATGCTATGAAATTATCACAAATATACCTACTCAGTCACTCACTGATTGTACAATTTGAAGAGGTTTCTGCAATGGTCAAGCTATAAATCATGTTAAATGTTACATGGTATTAACAACCTGCTTTAAAATAAAACCAGAGCACGCACACAGGAGGGATGGGCGAGGATGAGATGCTCAGCAGTAATAGAGCGCTCTTGCTGAGGACCTGGGTTCTCTTCCCAGCACCTACATGGTGGTTCACAGCTGTTCCTAACTGTAGTCCCAGGGGACCTGACGCTTTCTTCGAGTCTATACAAGCATTTGGCACACGCACATGTGTACACACACACACACACACTCATACACAGAAATTAATCTCGAAGCAAAACAAAACCAAAGTCAGAGGCATCTCAGAAAGACTGAGTAAGAAGATCAGGGCTAGAAAGATTAAGTCCTAATAAAATTGGTTTATTGGATAAAATGTTAAGGTACCCCAAGGTTGGAAGATGTACTTCTTTCCATGTTCTATACAATGCACCTTCTGTCTGTAAGGTCTTTATGATGATATAACAACAACAACAACAACAACAACAATAATAATAAAAAACAACTACCTATCAATTTGTAGCATGATTTGCTAGAATGCTGAAACCAGGAAGTACCCTGAGGGCTAAAATAGTCCTTTGGAAGCCTAAGATTGTGCTCCCTGTCCTTAAAAGGCGGCTGGTGACAACATCAATAACAGGACAGCTCTACTCATCAGAAACTCCCTCCCTAGGGGAAGGAAAGCTCAGCAGGTCACACGACGCTCTAATTTGTTTCCTATGTCTGGACAGCAAAGACCAAGAGGGGGTCTTGAAGCTTTCAGCCCAATAAAGCCAAGTCAATAAAGAGGGCTTATGTCACATTCCTGGGTGTGACTTGAAAGCGTGACTGATCTTTGGATGAGCTCAGAGCTTGTAGTTAGAGCTGCATCAGGATCAGACTACTGGGATCCTGCTTTGTGTGTGACAGGTAAGAAACTTCCCCTTGTCCTTGTCTGCACTACATGGGCAAAACAATCTAACCGGGCTTACCTTTTTTTTGATGTTCTAACGTTTAGTTTCAGACACCCCTCTCTTCACATTACCTCAATTTCCCCGCCTCCAAATCTAGTTTACATAATACGTATCTTCACAAAGCTAGAGGAAAATAATTTAAGGTACTCTTCGGTCTTAAAGGGAGAAACTTCCCACTTGAACACCACTTAAAGGACCTGTGTTTCAGACCGCGAGTGTGTGTAACTGAAGGCAAGTGTGCACACACCTTACTCCGCACTCGACTCTTCTTGAGAAGGGGCTTTCCTGACTCTTCTGTGAACAGGATGTGCTTGTTCTTCACAGACATTTGCTTGCGCATATCCAGGTACTTTGACTTGTATTTCAAGTTCTTCTCTAGATACCTCACCTGCCGATGACTGAAATTTGGAATTCCACCATATCTGGATCAGACCAAAAATGACACACATGTTAAATTCCAGAAAAGGTGTCCTGTATAGACCCACCCCCTCAAAAATCCAAAATAAAAAAACCCAAAATAATGATTTTCACTAGTATTTGCTAGTTACGGCCACCATTTTCATCTTAGTGAGTTTTGAAAATGGTGAGTTCACATGCTAACTGCAGAGTTTCTTGTCTAGTTTTTTTTTTTTTTTTTTTTTTTTTTTTGACAATTTAAAAGCTAATGTTAAACCCTGATGAAGACTAGCAAGGCTATTTCATTGTGTTTGAGATACAGTTATATGATATTAGCACAGGTTTGTCCTAAATTGTTGACTCCCCTGCCTCAGATTCTTGAATGCTGGGATTGTAAGTGTATACCATCACAACTAAAATACATTTTAAATGTAGATTACAAAGTAGAAACTCTGTAGCAGACTGCAATAAACAGGGATAGCAAGAACAAAACAAAAACAGATTTCCTTGTTAGGGAAACTTTTCTTAAGAGTGATGTCAAGGGCTGGACAGATGGCTCAGAGGTTAAGAGCACTTCCTGCTCTTCCAGAGGACCTGGGTCCTTAAAAGGCAAATGATTGAACAGATTTTGGTATCTCCACAGAATGTGCTAGATTGCGTTCAAGGAGCAGAGAACAATGGGATGCATGCTTAACAGACATCATGCTTAAAGCTTAGGAAATAACCTGAATATTGTTATTGAGGATGGAGATTAAATACAATACATCCACTGAAAGGATTAGGTAAATGCTCTGTGTGCCAAAAAGGAAGGGAAAACATGGTGTACTGCCGTGAAAAGCAGGCTGTGAGCTATGCACTCTACATTATTTACCTAGTTGTGAAACATGTGAGTTTTCATGTTTGCTACATGCTATGCTTCCTAGTCTTTAGAAGCACAAAGGGCAGGTGGGGAACTATAATTAGAAGTTCTAAGATCTGAGCTTAAACCCGTCCTGAAGTATCATCTATACTAGGTCAAATATTTGTGACTTACAGCTGTTTATCTGTAACATTTGTCTGTTGCTCGGTGCAACTGAGTTAATACAGTGAATACTTCAAATATATAATACTATTTGTACTGTCTTCTAACAAGAGAAGTTGGTGTTTTAATTGTATTATTTGCAACGGTATCAAATAGAGTTCTTATATATTATCCATATGAATACCAAAGAGATCTAAGGTGGCTGAAGTTATTAGGATTTCTAGAAGGTGACAGTACTTACTTTTGTCCTGAGCCATGCTTGAATCCTAAAAGGAAACCATTGTCATCAACTTCTGAATTTGGGTTTTCATCGATGTCCAACTCATGGCTGAAGTGACAAAAACAAAAACAGTAATAAGCCATCCTTTTCAGAATGAATAGTACCACACAAACCAAGTTAGTCTGGAGGAAAAGTACTTTTTTTTTTTTTGGGATAACTTAATATACTCAGCAGTGTTTGAAACACACAAACAAGCTTGTAAAGATTTTATGTTAAATTGTATGTATGTACGTGTATCTATTTATGTGCATGTGCTTGTGAATACAGGTGCCTAGGGAGGCAGACTGGAGGTCTCAGGTCCCCTGGAGCTGGAGTTTTAGGCTGTTGTGAGCCCTCTGATACTTAGAACCTAACTCAGGTCCTCTGGAAAAGCAGCAGGTGCTCTTACCCATAGAGCATCTCTTTAGCCCCCCAATACTTAGTCTTTAAGTATTCTACCTCTACTCTTAAAGATAATGTAAATATATATCTTTCTATTTCCTTTGGAAAAGTCCTAGCCAAAGTGGAAGCCCGAGATTAACTTTTTGTAGCATTTTTTCTGGAGGTCCCCACCCTCCAAATGAAAAGTACCAATCAGACCAAAAAACATTTTCTAGAAGGAACGTTATTAAGAATGAGGTATAGGAGCTCAGAGGTTCAGAGCACTTATAGCTCTTTCAGAAGACTAGTGTTAGTTCCCAGAACCCACACTGAGAGGATCACAAATGCCTGTGACTGCTCATAGGGATTTGATGCCCTCTTCTGGCCGCCTTGGGTACTAAACACACTACCTTCTGAACATACATGGAACTAGAAAGCATCTTCAAGAAAGTCTGTGATGCTGTTGATACCACTTAGTCATGCGATGGTAAATCTTCATTGTCAACTTTACTAGACTTGGAACACTTAGAAAACAAACCTCTGCCTATGTCTATCAGAGGTTTCGCAGAGATTTAACAGGGGAGGGAAGAACCACTCTGATGTAACCATCTGCCTCATGGGCCTACAGTCAAAACTTGGAGTTTCTTCTACAGATACACCTACCCTACTATGATGACCATGCACTCAAATAAGCTTTTCTTTCCTCATGTTGTTTCTGCCACAGCACTGACAGTGCCTTAAACAGGTATCTTTAGAAGCTCTGATTGTTGCCAGGCAGTGGTGGCACATACCTTTAATCTCAGCACTTGGGAGGCAGAGGCAGGTATAGATCTCGGTGACTTCGAGGCCAGACTGCTCTACACAGCAAGTTCCAGGACAGCCAGGACTGTTAAAAAGAGAAACCCTGACTCAAACAAACAAACAAACAAACAACTCTGTATGATCCATAGCATCAAGCAGAATACAGCAAGAAATAACTTACTATGTTTATCTATCTGTAAGGAGTACGGTTTTTCTGCCCGCCGCCACTCTTGTCCCGCCGCTGCGCCTGCCCCAATTAACACACTGAGACTCTGTATTAGATATAATTTTGTTGGCCCGGTATTAGTTTCTTATCGGCTAGCTCTGTCTTAAGTATTAACCCATTTCTGCTGATCTATGTATTTCTCTTACCGGGGAGCCGGCCGGCATACTGCTTTCTCCTGACTCTCCATCTTGACCTTTCCTTACTACTTCCTCTTTCCTCCTCGTCTCCTAGTCCCGCCTATCTTGCTTTCCTATTGGCCAACAGTGCTTTATTCATTAAACCAGTATGAGAAACATATTTACAGAATCGCATCTCCCATCATCTATCTACTAGTTTTAGGAATATAAGCACAACTCCTTTTGTCTCTAGGAACTTGCAGCAAATAGTGACATGATTTTTTTGAACTAAGCTCAGACTCAGAGTTTGCACATCATTTTCTACATGCTATATGGAAGAAAAAATGTCTTATGTGGAACACGACAAAGAAATGAGATACCTCCACCTAATGCTCCAACTCTGTAGCAATCTTTTCTTTCCTTTTTATTTACAGTGTCTGCACTTGGACACATTCGACTTTACGTATTCACCGATAGCTACTGCCACATACCATGTGATAGCTCCAGGCAATGATCTCACAAAAACAGCTATCAGTCTCATTTTATAGATGAGGAACTACAATTTATGTAGTTATGAGTGGCAGAATTAGGATATGACTGCATCTAAAAGACTTACTAATAGATCCTTCTTTTGCTTATAGTACAGTGTTGCCAGGCTAGGTCATTCCTTACCTTCTCTTAACTTTGCTGGGCTTATGATCAGGCGGATCATCATCACTCCCATTTCCATCAGCCTTGTTAGGGTCTGCCTGATCTTGGCTTGCATTTGTTCCTGAAGACCCCTTCAATTCTAAGGAGAGAGAGAGATTATATGTATTTTCCTTGCGGTCTGGCAACTTTTCTATTGGGACTTTAGTCCCTCTCATTTATCAGCTCCATTCTTCCAGGTCCCAGCGCTCTAGGGCAGTAAAATGAATAGAATGAAGAGTACAGTGACAAAAAGTAGAAATCACATATACACAGAAATGTAACACAGATTTTATGCTTTGATCTTAATGGGGAAATGAAAGTATGCGATAGATAACCTCAAATCTTCCTTGATCTGGAGAAATGACACAAAGGAGCACATACATCAGCATATATTATAACTAAGGGACAGGAGACAGAAGGCAGTGACTGGAAAGTTCTACGTTTGGAAAAGGAAAAAAGAGAACCAGTATGTTACAAACTTCATGTTTTATCTAAGTAGAGAAGCTGTGATAGTCGGTGTTCACTGTCAGCCTGACTGTCACCTTGCTGACAGGCCTCCAAGGACACGTGGGGCATTATCTGAAGGAGAGAACAATACCCTACAATGCTGGATGGCACTATTCTCTGGGCTTGGGCCTGGGCTGCATAAAAATAGGAGCCGAGTATGAACATGCTTTACCCTTTTCTTCTTGACTGCAGCTGAAGTTACCAGCTGCTTCAAGACCCTGCTGCCTTAATTCCGTCACAATGGTCCAAACCTTCAACTTCCCTTAAAGTGGTTTTGTCAGCAACACAGAGTTGTATTTTATCACAGCAACAGGAAAGAAACTAAGACAGAGGCATTGGCAATATACAGAAGAGTATCTGAAACATCTGAAACTTAATAAATATATTAGCCTTCTCTGCATGGTGAACTGCATCCTCAAACCATGAGACAAACCAACAGCCCCTCGAGTTGCTTCTTGCTAGGATCTGCTTATAACCACCAGAGAATATGAGTGGATATAATGAGGGTATTGAAACTTCCAATTATCAGTGGCATCAGTACTGTTGGTATCTTTTGTAGAGCAGGATGACCTACCCTAAATGAATTCCACACAACTCTTGGTATTTACCTGTCAAATGCTTGCTTTTAATTCTAATTCATTTGTTCTGGAAAACGGAGAATTGCAAGTTCACCGTAATTTACCCAAGAGATTTTCAAGTTTGCCTTTATTGGCAATTCTGGTACAGAAGAAATGAGTATTTCTGAAGATGCAGTGTGACTCTTGATCATATAGATGGGCAATTGTGATGTAAAATTCAGATGGGATACATAACTTCCAATACATACTGATGTGTCAGACTGTTGGTAACCATCACCTGAGAGAGTAAGTCTGGATTTCCTACCTTGAGCTGGCTGGTCTGTGCTTCCGTTTGCAGATGCGTTACTTTCCTTGGGTGCTCCATTCCCCGCGTCTCTTCCTCCAGACGCAGGACACTCTTTGACACCGCTATTCTCGCTCACCTGAGTGTCACAGTGTACAGAGGACTCTAACTGGCTCTGTTCCACTTCCTCTGAACTCAGAATTATATTGTTAATCCCAGCAAGTATTTCATTATGATCTTTATCATTTGAACCAGAGCTTTCATCATCAACTGTGTTAGGCGAAGACGAAAAAGACACTGAGTCTACTTTCAGGCTGCTCTCGTCTTTTTTGTCAACCTCTGTTTGAGGTGTGTAATACCCATCTATATCACAGTTGTGGGAGGAGGCAAAAGTCCAGCCCTGAGCTTCCCAATACCGAAATTGTTCCAAATAATACCAATAAAGCTGGCTGTAATGCTGCTCCCATTCCTCCTTTGTGTCGGCAAGGTTCCAAGGTTCAGGAGACAGGGTCTGATCTGGATGTTTTTCCTGCCAGCTTTGCCACAGCAGCCCTTCTCCATATTCATTCCAATACCTTTCCCAATTCTCTGTGACCTCTAGCTTTGGCGACTGCATATCTTCAATAGGAAGGCTTTCTGTTTCAGTATTTGTTTCACTTTGAAGTTCACATGTTCTGTTGTTTTCACAGTGTTCAACCAATGATGGATCATCTGACACTACATCATCTTCTTCATAGTCATTTCTCCAAGATTCTCGTACCATTTCATCCAAGTACTTCTTTTGGTGCTTCCTTCTTTTTTGTTTTACTTTAACTTTGTTTCTAGTATTCATAGATACCTACATTAGACAAATGATAACAAGTCTGAGTCTATTCAAAGATTACCATAAGCAAAACCACACCCAAACTCCCACTGTGAGGCCTTAAAATACAAACAAGTAACTTTTATGGAGTATTTAAGTTATACACAGGACATATTCCAACTTGTAGTTTTATTATTATACACACACACACACACATACATACACATGTTAATACATATACAGACATATGAATAAAGTGTTCTAGGCATGAATGAATTTGACTGTAAATAAAAATGTAATACTTTACACTGTTTTTCGAAAAACAAGAAACAGAAATAGCATGACTAGAGTAAATACCTCAAAATTCTCATGTGCAGACACTCTTCCAAACTGAATTGGCAATCCCATACTTCTCATGAGTTTGGCCTCAGAATCAAGTTCACTTTCATCTGGGCTCACATCTTTGCTGTTTGATTCTGCGGTGCCTTGGGAATGTCCATCCTCCTCCTCTTCTGTAGCTTGGTCTCCTACAGACAGCATCTGTTAGCTTCATTGTAGGGAAAATGGAAAGGCAGCCTTTCTTATACCCATTTAAGAACCTGAGAGCCAAGACTCTTACAGGACTTGTCCACACTTGTATCAGTGTTATAATATATTTAAAAAGAAAACCCCCAAAATCAAGAGAATCGGTGGTAATATGTACTCATAATAAAATTCAAGGCCATCTGGTCTATATAGGGAAAGTTCCAAGGTATAGCCAAGGTATATGATAATCTGCCTCAAAAAACAAAACAAAACAAAACAAAACACACACACACACTTCCCACCCCTTAGTAAAAGAAATACTTCAATTTCACAATTCAGGCAATAGAAATAGACATTGATAAAGGAGAAATTTCATGTATGAAATTCTACCAAAGAGGTTCTTCAATGAGGAAAAAAGACACTCATGTAAATAATGAAGGACATTACCTCACTACTGTATTCAATCAAACTATGAAATCTCAGGTGAGCACAGGATGGGGAGGATCAATCTACTAATTTGTGCTCCTCTCATGCTAACCCTTCTCAGGTTCAGCAGGAGCCGTGTGCTTTCAGAACCCCTATTTGTACAGCACAGTAGGAAGCCTCGCCTTATCCTATCTGAGAACGGTTATTCCGAGAGCAACTGTGACAGCTTATACTGGGGCTGCCTTTGGCTTTCAACTCTATGTTGCAGCCCTGTTCATTTTGAGAAATGTTAAGTTTATGTGGAAAGATAAATAGACTGGGGAAGTCTGAGAGAGTATAAAGTGAAATAATACATGCCACATTCTGTTTTTTACTTGGGAAGGTAACACAAGATGGAAGATAACTCAAAAAAGGGCTGGAAGTGGTCACTTGGGATGCATCCTAAATTTCCCTTTACTACAAAAATGTACTTTTCAAAATTTCAAATTCAGGCTGGAGAGATGGCTCAATGGACTGGCTGCTGTTTTAGAGTCTAGGCTCGATCGCCAGCACCCACATGTTAGTGTACAACCACCTGTAATTACAGTTCCAAGGGACTGATGCCCTCTTCTGGCCTCCACGGAACTGCACGCTTGAGGTGAACTGACATACATGGAGGCAAAATACCAATATCATAAAATAAATAAAAAGCTTCACATTTTCAAATTCCAGGCTAATGGTTACAAATCAGAAAAGAGTGATAGACAAGTAGAAGTCTAAGTGAAGCCAACACAAGCTACAGGGAAAAAGAAGCCTTGATAGGAGCTCTAGAATGTTATGTGCATGCAAGTGTGAAGGAAGGGTCTACAATTACAAGTTTTACTTGCCATTCACCATTTTATGCCAGGAAGAACAAAAACATATTGCCACAAGATACATGGGCCATGCAGTCTTATTTACAATACCTGCATTATTGCCACTGCTTCTGATGTAGTAGCCTTTTAACCCCAAGTTGTACAATTTCCGATCCCTGTGAAGCAAAATAAATAATCCATTGGAATAAGTTGAACTATAAGCCTGGAAAGAATGGCTTGACACTGCATAGATTAACTAACAAAAAGGTTAAGAAACAGGATAGCAACTTGTTAATATATCTCTCTCACCTATAGAGAGGCAATAATGTTTCTCATAGAGTTGTTAAAAATTGATTATATAAAATAGTATTTCTTGATACATGACACACTCTTATAATTACTAATCTTAATTGGAATTTCTCCTGGATACTGGGGAGAAATCTGATTTTGTTTTTTGTTACACACAAGCAATTAGGAAGTCTCTAAGTTTTTGGAAACGTCTGGTCTGAATATATTCCAGTAGCGGAAGGGCTGAGTTTACCTGCATATAAAGCTAAATGGACAGTGTATTTTATTTAAAATAGAATGTCTATTAACTAATTCTTACTCAACTCTTCTTCAGCACATCTATTTCTAAACTTTTTAATTACTATAACTGGAACTCATTACTAAAATAAACCTACAGAACACTTAATAAAAGCACAGTACATATTGTCGCTAAACTGCCCCCTCCTGTCTACTTTCTTTGATAGGTCTCACCATAAACTCTGGCCTTGAACTCGAGGATCACCCCTCTTCAGTATCCCACCTGCTAGAGTCACCAGGCATGAACCATTATGCCTGGTGCTAGCACTAAATTTACGGTGAACTTACAACAAACTTCACAAAACACAAGTCTTGTGTGCTTGAGCTATTATTTCTTCTCCTCTTGGTAAAGGAATACTTTATGACATATAAAGAAGATGGATATTCACAAAACAGTGAACAGAAAGGGATAGAGTACAAATGTGCTTTAGTTTAGCCATACTATCTATCCATCAGGAACACAGGCACTGTGGGCAAGGGAAGGAGTGGGAGCTATACACAGGCATTAGTGCTTTGTCTACTGGCAACTAAAGATATGGGCCACTAAGAGGTGGAGAGAGGGTCAGTATGGTTACCATTATGGTTATAATGAACAAATAAACTCATGGTATTAAATACACAGCACATATAGAAGTAGTTTAAAATGTTGGATGTGTACTATACTCAAATATACATTCCTGCATGTATTATAAGCTCCTATGGATACTGTATAACTGTACTGGGAAGACACAGGAACAACAAATACAATGAACATACAGCTTTTAAAGTTCTGAGATGGTTAGTTTTAATTGTTAACCTGACACCATTTAGAATCTATGGAAGAAGGGCTCATGTTTGTGAGGGATTATCTTAATTGCATTTACTGATGTAGGAGCCCTATCCATAGAAGGTGGCATCATTCCCCTGCACAAGTCTGAGCTTGGGGATTCTAAAGTGTAAAAATGCACAGAATAGCATGCAAGTATTCATACTGCTTTTTTCTCTGACTGTGGCCTGAATGTGACTGCTCCCTCAAGCCAAGATAAACTCTTTCTCCCTGAAGTTGTGGGAAGCCAGCCCCAAGATGGCGCCTGGCTGGATGCCGGGTAGTCCGAGCTTAGCTGTAAACAAGCCTTATTTGGAAGTGCTTGATGGATCTGGTGCGCTTCCTCCTTCTGTGGCCTATCCGGGATCGCCAGGTGGCATGAGCTGATTGGGCAGCGTGCACACATTTAAGGGCTTGCTGGGGCCGGGGGAAGAAGCAGAGCGGAAGTTGATGTACAAGGTTCCTAAATAAACTGCTTGAAGAAGAGTCGTGGTCGTGTTTCCTTGCCGGCTGAGGTAGACGCGAAGAGTGGTGGCCCGTACGGGGAGCCTCTCTCAGTGGTTGAACGGCTCAGAACTTCCTGCTGTCACGGTAGTCGACTGGTAAAGTCCCAGGTAAGGTGGGACCAAATTAAGGACCTCGGTAAAGAGGCAATAAGGTCTGCTGTAGGAGCGATAAAGTGAAAGTATGGGGAATTCGACATCACAACCCATTTATCTCGCTCTTCAGGAGCTGTTGCCTTCTGAGAGAATCTGGATACTGTACGGTATTATATTGTCTTTGTATTGTTTGACTACTGAGGAAACAACTGTTAAAGGAAATGCTGCTGGATCAATCCAATTTATATATCTTAAAAATGCTTTGACTCCAAAATTTAAGTTCAAGGACAAGTTACTGGGGAAAAGGATTTCTATTTTTGTTTCCACAGAAAATAAAAAGCTGTGGATTCCTTTCCAGACTAATGTGGTTTGAGCAAGCCAGACCCCCTGAAATAACTGCTGCTTTTGCAATAGCGCAGGTGGAAGCTCTTAATCGCCACATGGTGAAGCCATTTTAAAGAGTAATGCCACCTGGATTAGAGGTTGATGGCCTAGAGCCCAGGAGAGGGGTAACTTGACTATTCCCCTGCAACCCAGGTGGGCTCCTTATTGTAATCAAAACCCAGCTCAGCGCGGAGCCTCTAATCCTTTCGATCATTGGCTACTCTGTGGCGTTAATGGTAGCTGCACTGATCTCTTCCCCATGGTGGTTAAAGGAGGAATGGTAGGAAATGCCTCCTTTCAATGGAATACATCAGATTTGTTTGGAAGCACAGTAAAGTTGATAGCTCCAGGAAGGAATGTCTTTTGCACCCACCCCTGTGTGTTTGGCCTCCTTTTGTGTTTGTGATGAGCAATAGCACCTTTGCAAGCTCTAGTGAGAGAATGCTAAACTGTACACCTCAAGTATGCTTCTATTCTTTATGTTGGGATGGAGGAAAATTTCCTTTGGCCCTTGTGACCAGAATGCCCAGGTACGTTCCCGTTCCGGTAGAGAGCCCGAGCACCATGATCCTCTTTAGACAGAGGATTTTGGAATTACTGCTGCTATCGTGGTTGCCATTACAGCTGGAGCTGTGGGAGCCGCCACGGCTGCCATTGCCATGCATTCCACTGTCCAGACTGCAGCTGCCTTAAATAACCTGTCAGCGAGAGTAGCCACTGCTTTGGATGTACAATCTTCCCTTAATGCTCAATTAGAAGGTGGTATTATGGTCCTGAATCAACGAATTGATCTAGTTCAGGAACAGATTGACACTTAGTGGCAGTTGGCACAAATAGGATGTGAATGGAAGATGACGGGGCTATGTGTGACCTCTGTGCCATATCGTAAGTATTCGGTGGCTGCCAATATGTCTAACCAGCTTTCTCAGTATCTTTTAGGCAATTGGTCTGGTGAATTCAATAACTTAATGCAGGACCCGAGACTTTACATTGTGCATGTAAATTCCACCCAGGTCGACGTCTTGGTTGCAGAGGGACAATCTACATGGATCACTCAAGCCATGAACCACCTGAAAGAATGGGCGGGAATGGGTGACTGGGAGGGGTGCTTATCCTAGTCAGTCTCATTGCCTTATGGTGTATCTGCAGGATGAGGGTTACACAGCGGAGAAGCAACGCCATGATTGCACAAGCCTTCGCAGCCCTGGAGGCAGGGCAATCACCTCAGGCTTGGTTAACTGTGTTAAAAGGCTAAGCAGTCATCACGCTCAGGATACGAGACGAAGTACTGCACTTGAGGCCAGCTTCTAGTGGCTTCATGGAGGGCAAGTCTGATTGCATATAGGTTGGTATCATAATCCCATCTCTGAGAAAAGATACCAGACGGGTGTGGCACCAACTTGGCTGATAACTGGGCGCAGGGCCATTACAATGTCCCTTGTTCATCAGAGATCAGACCTCTACCCTTGCCTGTTGCATTTAAAACAAAAAAGGGGGGAGCTGTGGGAAGCCACAGCCCCAAGATAGCGCCTGGCTGGATGCCAGGTAGTCCGAGCTTAGCTGTAAACAAGCCTTATTTGGAAGTGCTTGATGGATCTGGTGCGCTTCCTCCTTCTGTGGCCTATCCGGGATTGCCAGGTGGCATGAACTGATTGGGCAGCGAGCACACATTTAAGGGCTTGCTGGGGCCGGGGGAAGGAGAAGCAGAGCAGAAGCTGATGTACAAGGTTCCTGAATAAACTGCTTGAAGAAGAGTCGTGGTCGTGTTTCCTTGCTGGTCGAGGTAGACGGGACATGAAGTTGCAAACATTTCAGTGCATTCTCATCACAGCAACAGAAAAAAACTTGAGGCAAGTACTATTATCTACTAAAAGAACCAACTAGTCAGTCTAGAAATTGGAAAGGTAAGTCTGGGTTATCCTGTGTCAAGGGTATGTGGGCACCCTAAAAGGTCTCCTACTGGGAACATTAAAGACACTATGACAAGCAGTATCAAGAATTGGCAACGGATTATAACTCTCAATAAACTAAATAATAAAGAGCCAAAAACTATGACAGCCTAGGTATAGTAACACACACCTGGAATCCCAGCATCCCGGAGGCCAAGTCAGGAAGATCATAGGTTTCAGGTGAGGCTAGCTTGGGATACATAGTGAGAATCTGCCTCAGATAAAGAATCTACACTAACATTAACAAATATATGAGTACACAGAAATAGAAGGAAAAGCACTCCTGACAAAATGCTGATAAACCACAACTTTCAGATGTAGCTGTTGGAGGTGTTAGCACGCTTGCTAAGATGTTATGGTGGAGTATGTCTCCACATAGTGGTTCAGACAAGAGGAACTATTATTACTTTACAAAGAAACTCTGGCAGTCAGTAGCATTGAGCCAGTGGTGTTGGGTCTACATGAAATGCTTCCTCAAACCAGACTTAAGAATGGCATCATGTGGCTGGGTGTTGGCCTTTAGTCCTAGGCAGAGGCCTGTGGATCTCTGTGAGCCCAAGGCCAGTTTGGTCTATAAGAGCTAGTTCCAGGACAGGCTCCAAAGCAATACAGAGAAACCCTGTCTCAAAAAACCAAAAGAATGACATTATGTAGCAACCCTCCTGTGGTGTGATCAGATAGAACACCCAATGAAATGTCAGATAGACCCAGGTCAGGTAATATTACAGGATACAAGGACATCACTTTTAATAGCCACTGAGGACATGAGACTAGGTATACTGCTCCTTAACAAGTTAAGGATTGTTACTGCTATAGTGCTAGTAAATTTTCTGTACCTTAATTCTTTTCTCTCTTTTTTTTTTTCGTTTTGCAAGACAGGGTTTCTCTGTGTAACTGCCTTGGCTGTCCTAGAACTTACTCTGTAGACCAGGCTGGCTTCAAACTCACAGAGATCTGCCTGCCTCTGCCTCCTGAGAGCGGGGATTAAAGGCATACGCCACCGCTGCCCTTCTTTTCAAGAGCTCTGTTAGCATAATCATTACACAGATGAATTTCAAGGATACCATTTACTTGTATCACTCACTTCCCCCATAATCATCTCTTGCTTCCTTCCCTCCCTCTCCTTCCAGCCACTTTCCTTTTCCGTAGCAGTCCCCAATCTGGACACTACAGTGCACATATTGTAACGTGTACCAGATAGTCCCCATGTTATTGCTCATGTCGAGTGTATGCTACATATGCACACAAATATAAAATCTAGATTACACATTTGAGAGAAAATGTGGTATTTTCTTCCTGAGTTTAGCTTAAGATGAATGACTATTCACAGTTCATTTGCTTTCAAATGAAACAATTTCATTTTCTTTATGGCCACATAAAACGCCACTGTGTATACAGACCAGTTTATTTATCCACTCATCTGTTAATGGATGCCTAGATTGACTCCATAACTGGTTGTGACTACCTACAATATACACAAGTATTTATCTTCATAGTATGTGGATTTAGATTCCTTTGGGTCTATTGTCAGAAGCGGTCTATCTGATTACTGGTAGTTTTACTTGTTTTTTTGATCCTTCACGCTGATTTTCATAATGGATGATTCCATCCAATAGCTCCATAAGACTTTTCTCACTCAATCCTAGAGAACATTTACTCAGATTGTTACTTGTTTTCTTAAGAACATTCTAGAGTGAGATGGATTTTATATTCCCCTTGATGTCTAAGGACATTTTTTTCATGTGTTTGTTGATAATCTGTATTTAATCTTTGGTAAGTATCTGTTTAGCTCATGTGTTCATTTATTGATTGGGTTATTTTGTGTTAATTTTTAACTTCTTTATTAAGTTCTAGGTTCACTTTCTTTGAGATACTTCTAAGTTACTATTCTATTGCTTTGAAGAGACACCATGACCATGGCAGTTCTTATTAAAATGAATCATTAATTGGGGGCTGGCTTAGTCCATGATCATTATATTAAGACAGGAAGCAGATGGAAATGCAGCTAGTTTTATATCCTGATTCTCAGACAATGGGAGTGGGGTGGGGATGCATGGATGGAACAGGGACACATGGACGGTGAAGCAACATCACAGACAGACTGATTCTGACACACCTCCTAATCCTTCCCAATCAGTTCCAGTAATTGGATTCAAACATACAGGTATATGGGGTCCATTCTCATTCAAACTACTACACACTGCTGCCAAAAAAAGGGGGGTGGGTAGAGGAATGAAGAAATCACTTCATGGATAAGAACCCTTGCTGTGCATGCCTATAACTCAAGGATTTGCCAAGGGAGTTCGCTGGCCAGTCAGTCAGTCAGTCAGTCAGTCAGGCCAGAACAGCAAGCTGTGAGCTTCAGTGATAGACCCTGTCTTCAAGGAATAAGGCAGAGAGAGAAAACATTAGGCATTCTCCTGTCGTCCTCATGCACAAGAGTCTGTGCACCCACTCATACCCATGCACTACACACATACCCACAGAGGTCATGAGCCTGTGGGTCTCACAAAATGGTTTGAATGATAAATGTCCTCTACAGGCTCAGGTATTTGAACACCTGTCCCCAGGCAATGGCACTGTTTAGGAAGGTGGTGCATTCTTGCTGGATGAAATGTATTACTTGGGGCTTTAAGGATTTAAGAGTCAATAGCTTTGCCCAGTTCTAGACTCCATCCTTTCAGCTTCAGGCTCCAGCTGTCTGCTGTCAAGCCTCCCCTGATATGCACTCTTCCTTTGGAAAAGTAAGCCCAAATACTCTTGTGCAAGTTGCCTTTGGTCATGGTGTTTATCACAGCAACGATAAAGCAACTACTACAGCGAATGTGAAAGACACAGCAAGACACTAAGGAGATGCTCAAATCTAATTTCCCAAGGTCTCATAGCTTCCACTCTCTATCCTACTACAGATTCATATCAGAGCACTACGATCCTGTCTCACAATTAACTGAGTAATTGTGCAAACAACTATTTAGTGCAATATTGATCTCCTTTGCTTACAAATTCAACGAAGCCTGGTTCTGTCGTTCATTCCATTGCCTACCAGCAAATCTATAGGAGCACACACAAAAACAAACCAAACAAAAACCTTCACTGAATTAAAACCACATCTGCCTACAAAGAGGACAGTATTATATATTAAATTTAACCTGGTGTTTTATTTTGTTGTTGTTTCTTCAAGTACACAATGAAAAAGAGTACATGCTAACAAATTCTTAAGCTATAAAATTTAGCCCCACAAAGATCTAAAAAGACCTGAATCTACCAAGAAGCTTGTGACATCGGGTAAATAAACATTTCCCATGGACTAACAGGAAACCCCTGACTTGGGTGGCTTACTTCATATCAGTAACATAATAAAAACAATCTAGGTTGGAATTTTTTTTTGTCAGTGCTTTTACTACGAGTAGGTTCTTTCACAGAGACCGACCTGCCTCTGCCTCCCCAGCGCTGGGATTAAAGGTGTGTGCCACCACTGACTGCCCGGCTCATTCGGGCAATTTTAAACATGAAACGAATATTTCTCCCACCACCGCTATGAGCATTCTTAAACCTTTCATCTCAATTACAATGAGAAGTTTCGATTGTGTGACCTTTTGTTGGGAGATTTTGCAGTATGAAAAGAGAGCTCTGTTTTAAACCCTTCACCTTACTATGCCCTATCAGTTTACACTTCACACCTCCATCTCACTTGGTGTGTAGTTCAAGCTGGTCTCGAACTCTCTTCTCGATCCTTCTACCCTTGCTCCCGAGGCGCTATGATTCCAGGCCCGGGACACCTCGTCTAACTCATTCAACTCTGAGATCGGCTGTTCACTTATAAGCGCGAAATAACATATGCAGGTTACCGAACTTTTAAAATCAGAGCTAGGATTAAGCTTTCCTTCGGCAAGGGCAGTAGGGGACCATTCCGTCACGCCCGAGGGGCTGCGAGTTTTCTATGTCACCACTCAGCCCTCGGAGCAGGCAAGCCTTACTCGGCCTCGGCTACACCCGCAGTCCCGAGCAAGGATGAAAAGCCAGGCGGCAGTCGCGACTTACTCCACGAACGCCCGCGAGCAGAGGCAGAGGATCTTGTACTCCTCCTCGCGGTCTTCAATGAAGAGCAGCATTTCGGCCACGTGGCTCCACTTCTCACAGCACATTTCGTCCGCGGCGGGGCTGCCCTGCCCGCGGCGGGGCTGGGCTCTGCTCGGGCGCTGCGATCGGAAAGGACTCACGGCCCCGGGCGGAGGAGCAAGAACGCGCCCGGGCACGCTCGAGCCCGCAGCCCGCCAGGCGCGCCGCCGGAAGCGGCTCCGGAGGCCGCCGGAAGGGGCGGGGCGAGGGCGGTGTCACACCCAAGGCGGCCCGGCCTCCTTCCTCACCGGCGACTGAGGGAACCCTGCTGAGCCCGAGTGCCCGCCTCTCCCGGCGGCTCCGGCTCTGACTCGCTGCCGACGTCGCCGCCTGCGGCCTGGCTTCCCGTGCCTCCCGCGGCAGGTGCGTGGGGGACCTCCCCGGGCTGCTGCAGCCTGCGGCAGGCGTGGTGTCGGGGGTCGCGGGCCGGGGAGCGGAAAGGCGGGCTGGCCCCCTGGTCTCTGCGTCTGCGCCGCCCCGGCGGGGAGCCGAGCTATTGTCACCCGCGTCACCGCGGGCTCGCGTCCTCTCCGCTCCCGGAGCCTCCCGCAGCTCTCGTGGGAGGCTGGGCGTGTCGCGTGCCCGGTGATGGCCGGGTCCCGCACCCGGGATGGAGCTGGAGGGAGGCGAGGAACCCCACAAGTTTGTGGTGCTTAGTACCGTGTGACCTGGCAGGTGACTTGGCCTTTCTGGACCGCATCTGGTCACCTGTAAAAAAGGGGCCGAGTAGCAATAGCTACCCCACGAGGGTTGCGGAAAGCATCAAAGGAAGCAACACTTAAACGTCTCTATTTGCAAAGTCGAGTCGGTGCAGACTTTGTAGATGCTGCTCTGCTACGGTCGCTGGGTTTTCCAATCCACTCTATGTTTAGTGAGAAATAATAATACATAAATTGGATATAGAAAACGTACTTATTGCTTGATTGGGAGGCATTCAGTACTAGGTGCTGCTTGAGACTGGCCAACAGCTTCTTCAAAATCAAAACAAATTTATTTGTTCCAAGGTTGTTGCATCATTTGAGGACCTTATTTTGTGCAATTATTAACGCTGAAATGTAATTGGTATTTTTTTATGGGCTATATAAGAACTGCGTTGAAATTCGGATACTTAGAATGCTCATTTATTTTTCAAAGGAGATGTTTATTCCCGCATTAACAAATTCAGAGACACTGAATTTAGGAGTTAGGAAGGAAAGAGTACTGCAGTTGTAGACACAGCACTCTAGATGTGTGTTGTACCTGGACATGGTGGCACACACCTTTAATCTCAGATTTGGGAGGAAGAGGCAGGCAGATCTCTGAGTTCAAGGCCAGCTTGGTCTGTAAAACCAGTCAGGGCTACACAGTGAGAATTTGCCTCAGAGTAAATAAATAAACAAGATAAATGAGTGTATATCCCAGCGTTATTGGAGTGACTAGACTTAGACTATGGTACAGTATTGAAGAGTAGCCATCAAAAAGAATGGAAGATTTTAGCCAAAAGTAGAAGAGCATTTTTATATTTTAAACAGCAAAATCCTTGAAATGTAAGCACATCAGAACCTGGAGGTAGAAGCTTGAAAGCACAAAGCTTTTTTTTTTTTTTTTTTTTTTTCTGTGTTAAGTGGCACCTGGGTGTTGGTTAAAGGTGCTTGCCACAAAGCATGAACTCACTCATGAAAGTTGTCCTCTGCCTCCACATGAACAGCCATAGCACATGCTCGCTCATGCACCCTCCCCATGGGGTCAGGGAATAAGAATATTTTAAAATTCTTTAAAAAGTAAATGGGAACCAATAATTGTATATGTAGGTATACAATGGGGTATAGGGTGCATTTCACTGTGCTTGTGATCAGGTTGGAGGAACTGATAGACCTCTAACATTGGACATATCATTTCCTTGTGTTGGGAGCATTCAACATGTTCTATTAGCTGTTTTTGGATACTCATTTTGTGAAACACAGGTTTTCTACTAGACTTTAAAAAAAATTAACTGGTCCTTTTGGCTGTGCCCCATACCCATTAAATCATCCTGTCTGTATCTTTCCTCCCCTGCACTTGTCTTGAGCTATGGTAGTTCTTTTTGTAATGTTGCTTTGTTTTTTCAAGACAGAGTTTCTCTGTGTAGCTTTGACTGTCCTGGAACTCTGGACCAGTCTATTCTCAACTCACAGAGATCTGCCTGCCTGAGTGCTGGGATTAAAGGTGTGTGCCACCACCTCCTGGCACACTATTCTTTGAGATTAACTTTTCAGGGTGGAGAGCATGAGATGGTACCACCCAAAGTTAGGGTGAGACTTCCCATCTCAGTTAACATAATCCCAAAAACATCCTCACACATACCCACAGACATTTGCCTCTTAGGTGGCTCTAAATCCATCCTCTTGACAGTCAAGAGTAACTTCAATAGCATGCTGACTATTTTTCATATGTTTGTTGGCTGTTTGTATTATCTCCTGAGGAATGACTATTCAAATCATTTGCCTTCTTTTTAAATGAGATTATTTGGGCTTTTCTTGTTTTTGAGTGCTTAATACAGTCTAGAAATAATCTGTTGTTGGAAGAATAGTTTGCAAGTGTTTTTCCCATTGTCAGATTTTTGCTTTTGATGTTTGTGCTTTGGGGACATAGTTTTCCCTATATTTTCTTCTAGTAATTTTGAAGTGTAAAGTCTAACATTGCTGCCTCTATTGAAAATAAATTGATTGCAAATATGTGCTTTATTTTTGTCTTCTCTGTTTGGTTCCATTGGTCTGCAAGTATGTTTTTATGTCAGTCCCATATTGTTTTGGTTATGTAGTACGCATCGAAGACATCTAGATATGGTATTGACTGCAGCATTATCCCTATTCTTCAGATTGCTTTGGTAAATTCAAGTCTTTTGTGTTGCTTGTGACTATATTTTTCTTGTTCTGTGAAGAACGCCTTTGATTTTTTTTTTTTTTTTTTGTTTTTATGGTCTTTGGTATTTTTCTTGGAATTTCTTTTGATATCAATATCATTTTGAATAGTATGCACACCTTAACAGTATTAATTTCTCCAAACCATGAAGATACAAACTTCTCATTTCTTTTCATCCCTGTTTTTGTTTTTAGGTTTATTTATTTATTATGCATACAGTGTTCTGCCTGCATGTATGCCTGCAGGTCCAAAGAGGGTACCAGATCTCATTACAGATGCTTCTGAGCCATCATGAGTTTGCTGGGAATTGAACTCAGGATCTGGAAGAGCAACCAGTGTTCTTAACCTCTGAGCCACCTCTCCACCCCTCATCCCTGCTTTGTTTTGTTTTATATCTTTTTTTGTGGAGATGATTCCCTTTCTTTGTTGAAGATACTCCTAGGTCTTCTCATCTCACGTTTCCTTTGTACTCCACTCCCAGCCGGAGATTTTGTTGTTGCACGTGCAGTTGTCATTGTCACTTACCATGTGAGGCTGTGAAAATTAAGTGTGGCGGCATTCAGGTTTTTCTGATTGTTGGAGAAGTTTGGATTTTGGGGTTGGCAGTGCTTAACCTATGTAGAACTAGGTCGTATCCTTACTTTTAGGCATCTACCTGGATCCTAGAATGTATACATTGTGGATAAGAGAGACTACTATAATTCTATTGCCAGTTTATCTGAGGAGATACTAAAGAACGCTATAAAGTCACAAGATGCTAAAAACCTATTTTTTCTTCCTTTTTTAAATTTAAATTTGAAACAAGCTTGTTTTATATGTCAATCCCAGTTCCCTCTTCCTCCCCATCTCAACCCCCATCGCACCCCCTTTCTGCTCCCCAGGGAGGGTGAGGCCTTCCATGTGGAGTCTTCAAAGTCTGTCACATCATTTGGAGCAGGGCCTAGGCCGTCCCCCATGTGTCTAGGCTGAGGGAGTATCCCTCTATGCAGAATGGGCTCCCAAAGTCCATTCATATCCTAGGGATAAATACTGACAACATATAATTGCTCTTGTTCGAGGGTCTGGTTTAGTCCCTCTCTTTTATTTATTCCTTTCTTGACTCACAAAAAATTTAGAGGGTTTTCTTAAGATTATTTAATATGAAATAGTAGTTAAACTTTCTTTAGATCACACTTTGAAGCAGTGAAAATATGAAAGAAAGAAGGAACTCTTGTGTAGGTAATTAAGTCCTAATAATAATAATACAGTTGTATTACCAAATGTATTTGACAGTTTGACTGATCCTGCTAAGTTTCTGCTTCCTTCTTATAGATACAAATGTTTTATAGTTGTAGTAAAACAGTTTCATGGGTGGGCCTTAGTAGAACAGTGCTAATCAGCTGTCTTAAGCTATGCAGAGGGATCCTGAATGTAACTTACCTGCCTTACCCGTAGGCCTGTCATTGATTGTCAGACATTGGTGACTATCTCCTGCCATTTAGTTCATGGAAATGTAAACTTAAGGTGTAATGATTTTTATTTAATAATATGTTTCATTTGTTTACTGTATTTTCAGAGTATACATATTGAATCCAGAGACAAGATATTTGTGCAATTTCTGGTAAGTCAAATAATTGTTTTAGAGAATGACTTCATACAGTACTTTTGTAGCTATGTTTTCAGTCATTTATGTTTTAATAGAAATGATTGAAAGATAAGTAATATGGAATTTTAATGTCAAAAGAACAGATAACCTCTTATGGAAATCTGTTTCTCTATAAAAGAAAATATCCATACGTGTAGGTCATCATTTCCTAACACTTCGGATAACCTTACTGAGTACGGTGCTGATGTCCTTTGTGAAGGACACAGTTCATCTCAGTGTAAAGAGTAAAATGTTCAGCATGACCCATGGAAGAAATGAGTTAGATTAACAGTGTGAGCTGTAATTTTATTCTGTATCAGCCTTTCTCTGTCAGTCACAGCTTTCAAGTTATTTTACAAGCTAAACCCAACGCTTCATAATTTTGTAGTTAAACATTAAAAAATCTACTCATGTTTTATATAGACTAAAATATTTAACTGTGTAGTTGTGAAGAGATTAACTGGATTATTCTTTCCTCCTAGGGTTGAAATTTAAACATAGGGCAATGAAGAAAGAGACAGAATTTGGGATTTTCATCTAAAGAGAATGCTAGACAACAACCAAACCTGTGCTGTGGGACAGGACTCTGTGCCCTACATGACCTGTGTGGTTCATGTGCTTGAAGAATGGTTGGGTGTGGAGCAATTGGAGGACTACGTGAATTTTGCAAACCACCTCTTGTGGGTTTTTACCCCACTGATACTTTTAATCCTCCCCTACTTTACTATCTTCCTCCTCTACCTTACTATTATTTTCCTCCATATCTACAAGAGGAAGAATGTGTTAAAAGAAGCCTACTCGCATAATTTATGGGACGGTGCGAGGAAAACAGTGGCAACTCTGTGGGATGGACATGCAGCGGTTTGGCATGGTAAGCAGGGATGCTGCAGTCTCTGTTGCCATGGTGTAGAGCACTGACACTGTATTGCTGTTTATTGTTCCTTGTTAAATCTGTTTACATGTAGTGTGTGTGTGTGTGTGTGTGTGTGTACATATATATATATATATATCTTTAAATGATTTTTTCTAAACACATTTATTTCTGTTTAAGAATTGCATAGTACTTTTAGTTACTATAAATTGAAATATGAAAATTGCTATTTAAAACATCTATAAAAATTACTGTAAAACTGTCAAAACGTCTTGTTTTCTTACCATGCGAAGCCATAGCTTTTATTGTGACATTTTCACATCCCATTTCCTTCTCCTCTCCTCGTCTCTACCTCTTTTTCATCCCTCCCCTTTAAGCAGTCCCTCATTTCATGTGTATCCACTATTGTCTTTTGCTCCCTCCTTCCTTTTCCCTTCAGGCCACTCCCTCTCTTCACAGTCCCCCTTTTCTATTCCATAGAAACTTCTTTTTCTTGCCTAAAAATATTTATTTATTTTTATTGTGTGTGCATATACACCTATGGGTGAGTGTGCTGGCAGAGGCTGGAGGAGGCTGTCAGATTCCTTGGAGCTGAGTTATAGGCTGTTGTGAGTTACCTAAATTGGTGCTGGAAACTGAACTCTGGTCCTCGGCAATAGCAACAAGCCTGCTGAGCTGTCTTTGCAGCTACACCTGCTTTTATTTTTTTGAGATTTGGGGGGAGGGAGGGTGGGTTTTGCTGTGTAATCTTGCCAGCCTAGGATTTACAGTTCTGCTTTGGCTTCCTGAATACTGTTGGAATTATAACAAGTGCCATCATATTTAGCTATTTAGCTAGATTTTTTTTTTTTTTTTTTTTTTTTTTTTTAGTTTTACTTCTTAGAGACAGAGTTTCTCTGTAGCCCTGGCTGTCCTGGAACTTTCTATGTAGAACAGGCTGGCTTTGAACTCACAGAGATCCGCTTGCCTCTGCCTCCCAAGTACTGGGATTAAAGGCATGCGCCACTATTCTGTTCAGAGTAAATTTGATTCTACCGATGTGACATTTTAAGAGTGAAATATTGTAGCATAGTGAACATTAAATATGTTGTATAGTGATGTTTACTGTTAGTGTTTGACTCGTCTAGGAAGTTGGTGTGTCTGTCTAGATAAGTGAGATGGCGATGCGCTTCTCTCTAGGAAATTTACTCTTACTTTATGACTTGAGAAGCTGTGATGCTGTGCGTTTAATGATTGGAGGCTCAGTTTTGGGCCATCATGAAAATTGCCTCTGCTCCTCCAGTCTCTAGTGGCTGTGTTCTATTCTGGACTTCATACATCTTCATTTAACCAATGGTTCAGTATTTGGAGTACTTGTTACTCTTGCAGAGGATGCAGATTGGGGTCCTGGCACTGACGTGGTGACCTGCACCATTCATAACTCCAGTGTCCGGGAATTCAATGCCCTCTTCTGACTCCTTGGGCTTCAGGCACACCTGTGGCATACAAACAACCACATAGGCAAAACATTCATATACTTAAAATAAAGAAATCTAAAGTAAGTTTTACAAAAACATGAAGGAGGAAAGGAAGAGAGCTCTTGTTATTCATTAGCAGTTGTTTGGTTTGTTGGTGTTGATTCTTTGGGCCTCATATGTTCTGGATGTCAGGCTTGCTGGGGAATGTTGTCTCATTTTGTAAGATTTTCTGAACACTGTTGTTCCATTTGCTCTGGAGAAGCTTCCTAGCTTGCCATCACATAGCCCACTTTACTTATGATTCTGTCTTAAAAATTTCAAACTAAATTATTTAAAGTAATTTAGTTCCCAGAATAAAATTTGCTTATGGGAGACTGCTTTGATCTATTCATGAGGATGCTGCCCTAACATCTCAAACCTCTGAGTAGACCCCATTTCTTGTAACTGTTGCTTTGAACCTTAGCATGTGTTTTGGTGAAGGTGAAATCCTATTTGCTCCAAAACAGCATGTGACAAGGATTTCTTTCTTTCTTTTTTTTTTCTCCTAGACAGGATTTCTCAGTGGCTTGGAGCCTGTCTTGGAACTTGCTCTAGTTATGTAGACTAGGCTAGCCTCGAACTCACAGAGATCCTGCTGCCTCTACCTCCTGTGTGCTGGATTAAAGGCGTGCACCTCCACTGCCTGGTGTGACAAGGATTTCATAGCATATTGTTGTGCCCCAAAGTGGTTTCAGAGCAGAGTTGGTTTCCTTCCTTCCTTCCTTCCTTCCTTCCTTCCTTCCTTCCTTCCTTCCTTCCTTTCTTTCTTTCTTAAAGAAATGGTTTCTTTATGTACTCCTAAGTGTCCTGGAATTTGGCATATACACTGAGCTGGCCTCTAACTTATAGAGATACTCCTTACCAGACAGACTTTGAAATAGACACTTGGTGATACACATCACTGATGCCATTAGGAAAACTCACCATCAATATGCCTCGTAGGATAGTGTCTTGGGGTAACACTACATTCATACTAGGATATCTATAAACCCTCTAATCCTCTTGTTTTGAGTGCGTATCATTCCAAACACTTAAATACTTCTTTAAACCTTATATCATGAGGCCAGGTGGTGGTGGTACACACCTTTAATCCCACTACTGGGGAGACAGAGGCAGGCGGATCTCTGTGAGTTTGAGGCCAGCCTGGTCTACAGAGTGAGTTCCAGGACAAGCTTCAAAGCAATACAGAGAAACCCTGTCTCAAAAAAACCAAAAAAAGAAAGAAACCTTGTATTATGATAGATAAAGTTTATATGCTATCTCCATTTTATTCCCCAGGAAATGGAGATTCAGAGAAGTTATTTCTGAGGTACACTAGGAAGCAGAGTGAGGATACAGTCTCTGACAAAGGGTTCCACTGCTCTGAAGTGTATGTAAGGTACATCAGTCCTGCACTGGGATTCACAGCCAGAAGTTGTGGTATTGAGGTTTGCACACAGGAGTGATGATTTTGATGCTGTGAATTCTTAGTGTTTGCTATTAAATCTCTTCTGGCCAGTACAGATCTCCAGCACCCTCAGTGTTTTACACAAAGCATGTGCCTGTCCCAGAGTTGCAACTTGATGGTCTTTAAAACAGTGACATGTATTGGCTGGCGTCATTTACAATACTTGTTAGGAATTTGCATCTTCCTCCAGTTTATATATCAACTTTTATTTTAAGCAATTTGAATTTACATATGAGTAGATAAGACAATACAGGTAAATCTAAGTACTATTTTATACTGGAATTTCAAGATAGTTTTAGATGTGTATTTATGGTTCAGAGGAAATAAAATATTCAGCACTTGACCCACTTTAATGCTTTATTGTGATGAGATATTTTTATCTGTGTAAGCGATAACTTTTTAAAAAGTTGATCTTGTGACATAAATAAAAGTGATTTGTGTCTACATTTGGATTTTGTTTTACTCAAATCAGTTTTAATATGTGCTTTTTAAACGTCAGAAACATAAAAGAAATAACATGATCATTGTAAAAAATATAATAAAAGAAAAAGCTACCTAAAATTTAATATGCAAATGAATTTTGTTAAAATTTGGTCTGTTTATCATTTGTATATGTGTGGTTAAATAGTACTTTTCATCCCATTAGTCTTCATAAATACGCCTTTTAATAATATAGTTATTTAGTTACCTATTACTGAACAGGTTTTATTGTTTATAATGTTTTTACTACTTAAAAATATCTTTATGCCAGAAACTATTCAGTATTTTATATTTTGAAGTTAAAGTTTACCCTCAGATTGTATATACTCTGATATTTCAGAACATTCTGCGATTCCCTATCCAATACAATGAAACACCAATTTGAAGCTTTTTAAATAACTCATTTTAGTTTGGTACTCTCAAATGGCTAACAGCCTTTTAATTCAGACCTTTCTCTCAAGTTTTAAAAGGCATTATTCCTGGAAAATGGGACTGACATCCTTAAAATTAAGCTAGGTTCTTATTTATTTCCTTTGAAAATCAATAATAAAGGAATAGACACTTTATGTTTTTCAAAAAATTAAAAAAATGTGTGTGATAGCGTAACTGCAGTAAGGTCACTTCATGTGTCGTAGATCTCTGAGGCACACTGTTGGACAGAAAAGATCCCTAAGTGTATTCATAGGATCCTGCTTATGCTATATACATCAGCAAGAAAATGTAGGTGCATTCCCACGAGGCGGTGAATCATTCGTGGATGCGAGCGTGCAAAGCCATGAGCGGGGAAGAAGCTAACTCGGGTTTTGAGGGAACCCTGATGGCTGTCCTCAGCTGCGGAGGCCGCTCTAGCCTAGGACCTGCTACTCCACACTTGGCTCTATCCTTTCTCTCGTGCCAGCCAAGGCTGCCATGCATTCTGGCCTTGTTTCATTCGGGTCCCTGCCTGCATGCGTGCTGTCTGCCCTCGTCTCCCTTCATCTGACCCATCGCCGTGGGCTATACTCCTTGCTGCTGAGTATTGTCTTTGCAGCTCTACTCCGCTTCGACTGTCTATCCTGGGCCACCCTTGCTGGTGGATCCCATGACCTTCTTGGACTCCCAACGCACACTCTGCCACCTCTCCATTCAGGGGCCTTGCTTATTCTGTCACGCTTTAAGACTATAAACCAAAGTATTCTCTGCCAGAAAAGAAAGGGAAACGGGGGGAACTTTCCAAAGGAGAAGGGAACCCAGAAGGCCAAGACAGGTCTTAAGTTACTGCATTAAATATCAGCGACTTGTCTTTCAAACAGGTTACGAAGTTCATGGGATGGAAAAGATACCGGAAGGACCAGCACTTATAATCTTTTATCATGGAGCTATTCCCATAGACTTTTATTACTTCATGGCTAAAATTTTCATCCACAAAGGCAGAACTTGCCGAGTAGTAGCTGACCACTTTGTCTTTAAAATCCCAGGTAAAGTTTAACTGTGTGTAGTGATCAAACTATGTGGCTTTGTCTGTCTTAAGTATTGTGTAGAAAGTATTTTGCCTCCTTAAGATAACTAATTTGAAAAGCGTTCTCCTACTTTTCTTCTTTGTTGCTTTAACTGACCTTGAGTGGGTAATCCTCCTGCCTCAGCTTCTGAGAGCCCTGGATTTCTAGGTGTGGCCACCACTGCTGGCTCTAATTATTCCCTCCCACCCTCCCTACCACAGACTTCAATTATCCTCTCCCTCCTCCTCTGTTTTGTTTTGGCTGTGCTGAGGAGTGATCCCTAGGGATGAGCAGATGCTCTACCACTGAACTACACCCTCCTCCCTCCCCCACCCCCCAAGTCCGGTTTCTTTTTCTTTATTAACAGAACTTTAGTCAGTATTTTCTAAAAAAAAAAAAAAACACTTTTGAAAATTGAGACAGGATGCTGCCAGTCGCCCAGACTGGCTTTTAGGCTGTGGTCCTAAGTAACCCTTTTGCCTCTGCCTCCCAGGTAGGTGGACCACAGACACATATGCCCCAACAGCAGTCTTAGTTCTTGGACTTTGTTTGTTTTTTGCGATGCTGCAGATGGGAACACTAGGCATGTACTCTCACCTTGAGCTAGATCCCTAACCCAAATCTTGAACTTTCAAGAATTAAAAAAAAAGGATACATAATTTTATATACAAGGTAGTTAAAAGTTTCATATTTTTGTAAGATAATATTTTCCTTCGTTTAATGCTGTTAAAGTTTAATAGCAAGTCAAAATTAGGAAAAAATATACAGGATGTGTTTGTCCTCACTATCCTAAAGAGTATGCGTATACATTACATCTCTTCCAGTGTACGAGCTGTCTCAAGCTCTTGAGATTGAGGACTGCATTTTAAATCTGTTCATAACAGCTTTATAGCTTAAAAAAAAAAAAAAAGCTTAGTTAAATTGTTTAAGATAAAATAGTTAAAGATAATCATTGAATGAAATTACTGAGGATAAATCTTTTCTTTCACCACTGAATCACTAGAAACAAGCCAGGAGAGTTGATAGTATGTTACCCAGCAACCAGACTCACAGCCAGCAGCGAGTTAAGACCAGTCTACTCCAGTGCCTTCCACACATATGGTCAGTGCTTTAGTGTGTGTTAGAACACTTGTTTATGCTTTGTGTATACATACGTTAAACCAGATGCAAGGCTTTCCTTTGGAAAGAATGTGACGACTTTGTGTACATTGGGGACAGAGGATGTTACAATCTCATCATAACTAGTTATTTTGATTTTTGAGTGACAACTGTTCACACATTTACAACTTCGTGGGTTTTATGCCCCTAAAGGTTTAATGTAAGCATTGCTATCTTACAGTGCCTCAGTTTTAATATGTGGCTCAAATGTTTATTTCTCTGTTGTACTCTTATGGAGCATGGGTTTGCTTTTAGCTTTTCCTTTTCATAAATAAGAAAACTGACCATTTTTAGGTTTTTCAAAACAATTTTTCCTCTATGTTCATACCAACTTTTGATATCGATTTACCTTTAGTCATTTATTATTTTATGAAGTTATAAAATCAGTATAATTCTTAGTGCAAGAGAGAAATTCTGTATTTTACCTTGTTATTTAACCCCCTCTCATTCACTCTGAGAGTGTATCTAATTAGGTCAGCGAAGTTTTGGTGCAGGATTAGCACCTTTTCAATCTTACTGACTTTTTAATGTTGTTTCAGCTCTTAAGGCAACAGAAAGCTATGTTAGTCTGCTGCCCAGTTCCACGGACCATCCATAGCCTCAGTCTCAAGCAGGAAAATACATGTACAGTGGCAATCATATCCTTTATTGACAGACTGTCTTTCATAAAGGAACAGTCATAGTTTGAAAAGCTATATAATATTAAGGTTTGGAATTAGCTATTCTTGGATTGAATACCCTTCCTCAGTTGATTAGAACTCTCATCGATATTTGCTATTGTTATAAAAGTTTAATTCTAGGATTAGTATTATCTAACTTCTTATTTCAGTAGATTTGATTATAGTCTGAGCTAATTTTGGTATGGCTGACCATAATCAGATTTACTTTCTCTCAGGTGGTTCTTTGTTCAGGGTTAGTGGGAGATTAGGCTTTTGGTTGCCGATGACACATCATCTCTGATTGGCTTAACAGTACTTGAGAAATATATGGCATTAAACTCAGTGGAAGGCACTCAGAACTGGACATAATGCAGTGGGAACCTCTGTTGTATGACTTTAAATATGCTACTTAACTTTTTTTCTGTGTGTAACTCTGGATGTCCTGGAACTCAGTCTGTAGAACAGGCCGGCCTTGAACTCACAGAGATCTGCCTGCCTCTGCCTCCTGAGTGCTGGGATTTAAGGTGTGCATTACCACTGCCCAGTTGCTACTTAACTTTTGACCCTGAGTTTTGTCATCTGTGTAGAATCTCTATTTTTCATGATAGTTTTAAATTGTAACTAAGAGTTTTAAAATGGAAAGTAGCCATAGTAAGGAAGTGATCAGCCAGAAAGTAATCAATAGTAGGTGATCAGATCTATCTATCTATCTATCTATCTATCTATCTATCTATCTATCTATCACTTCATAAATAAAACTGGACTTGTACCTTAAAAGCTATTGACTTAAGAAAGTAGATAAAAGTATGGGTAGTAAATTGCATAGATCATGATGAGTTTTGCTCTTAAAGAATTGAACACAATAAAGATATAGCTTTGTGATTACTTTTTTTTTACAGGGTTCAGTTTATTACTAGACGTATTTTGTGCTCTTCATGGACCAAGAGAAAAATGTGTTGAAATCCTGAGGAGTGGCCATTTGCTAGCTATTTCACCAGGTGGAGTCCGAGAAGCCTTGCTTAGTGATGAGACCTACAACATCATATGGGGTAACCGTAAAGGCTTTGCTCAGGTTGCAATTGATGCAAAAGTGGTAAGTCATAGCAAGGGAATTTGTCAAGCAAAGCTTAGTTGACTTTCAAAGAAATGCTTAACACGTGAGCCAAATATATGAATCCAGATTCTTTTATTGGAATAGAAGTTACTATAGGTAACGATTTATAGGGATATATCCAAAAAGGACTATTCCTTATGTGTGAGAAGCCATCTTACAAAACACAAAACTGACATGGAAATTTGGCAAGTATCCAGCACAGTTTTTTTTTTTTTCAGTTGTAAATTCTACTTCCTTTATTAGATTTGTGTTTCTGTACAGTCCCGCCATTGTTTCATTTTTTTTTTTTTTCCTGATACAGTTAGTGCATTCTGTCTGTTTTAAACTTTTGGTAATTTGACACAAATGCATTCATGTATTTCATGGATGAATTTGGTTTAATAGTTCTTTTATGTGTAATCAGTTTGTGTAACAATATGAGTCGTATATGATTAATGTCATTTTTCATCAAATAGGATTAGCTGTTTTATAGTATAATGATAAGAAATGGACAGTGGCGTATTTTAGATAGATATTTCTAAAACGCTTTTCAGTAAAGTTAAACGTACTTGGGAGACTCTGTAGTTATTGTATCTCCCAGACTGAACAGTATGAATGCGCTTTTGTTGTTTTCTTTTGGCTGTAGAAAGTATTTCTTAGTCTTTTGTTCTCTGTAGCCTAAGGAACTTTATCCTAAGGAATGCTTATTGTTAGAAGAGGACATTGCTGTCCTTTGCTGGACTCTTGGTCTTTTCGCCAAGCTGGGAGGTTGAGCCAGCTGCAGTAGCTTAGCATTTCGGGTTGCTGTCCTTAGGGAGACCAGCCTGCATCTTTCGTCTGACTGTGCATCATGTAAATGTAGACTGTTGATTAAAAAATGAAGGGTTGTGGTGATTCATTCTAACCAAAGAATACTATCTAAAGGGGAGTGGGTATTGCTATATTTGAATCACAAAGTTTACAGTAAAACAAAATACTCAAAGAGCTTGGTAGCTCTTTTCTCTCCTGTACCAATACACTTGCTTATGTGTGACTCCTAGTGCATTGCTCTACTGCTTTACTATTCCTAGTTTAAATTAATCTACTTCCTAACTTTTAAAATGCATGTTTAAGCAGTACAGTCCTACAGTAGACTTTATGTTCCTTGAGTAACTTAAAATTCTATATTCAAATCCTTAGTGCAATGATCTACTTTGAATAGGGCTTAAGTGTTTGTTAACTTTTTTTGTCTTTAAACAAAGATCACTTAACTCAGCAAAAGCTTTTTAATTTATTTATGCATTTGTTGTGCTGGTAATGAAGAAATTTGACTAATACCACATTTTACCCATTTTCTAAAGTTTTAAAAGCACAGATGTGGAAACCAGAACCGTAGACTATGAGAATATGGAATGCAGAAGGCTGCTTGCAGCCACGTGAGAAACTAAGAATAATCAACGAATATTTTAAAGCAAGAACAAAATTCTAATCTAAAACAAAATGTTGACCTTTTGTACGTTTTATTTTGAAAGATTTCAGATAAAGGTAACAAAAATAGTTTTGAGTCTTATAAGTTTATCATAGAATTCTAATTCTTCATTCTTATGTTATAGTTTTAAGGAAGATATTGCTTAGGGGAACTCAAAGAGAAAAATAATAAGAACTTTCTCAGATTCTTGAATTTTTTGGTAACTTTTTATGATTATGTATTTCAATTAAGATTTTTTTAATAAAATTCCAAATATTTGAGAACTTGTCTTTTATAAATTTAAAATAAATACAAAATTTTAATGTTGTGAATTTACCAATAACATTATAAGTCTGATAAATAGTTTGCAGCCCTTTGAGGTTTGTCCCAGGGCTCTGCACAGTCAGGGAGTTACATGTAATATTCTAATTCAGTGATTCTCAAGCTACCCTTTGTCAGGGGTCACTTAAGACCACCGGAAACCACAGACATTTGCATTATGATTCATGACAGCAAAATTACATTTATGAAGTAGCAACGAAAATAATTTATAGTTGGGGATCTCCACAACATGAGGAACTGTTCATCATTAAGGATCTCATCATTAAAGATCTCATCATTAAGGAGGCTGAGGACCACTGTGTTACAGGGTCTCAGTGTTAGGGAGGCTGAGGACCAGTGTGTTACAGGATCACAGTGTTAGGGAGGCTGAGGTCCAGTGTGTTAAAGGATCACAGTGTTAGGGAGGCTGAGGTCCACTGTGTTACAGGATCACAGTGTTAGGGAGGCTGAGGTCCAGTGTGTTAAAGGATCACAGTGTTAGGGAGGCTGAGGTCCACTGTGTTACAGGATCACAGTGTTAGGGAGGCTGAGGGCCACTGTGTTACAGAGTCTCAGTGTTAGGGAGGCTGAGAGCCACTGTGTTACAGGATCACAGCATTAGGGAGGCTGAGGACCACTGTGTTACAGGATCACAGCGTTAGGGAGGCTGAGGACCACTGTGTTACAGGATCACAGCATTAGGGAGGCTGAGGACCACTGTGTTACAGGATCACAGTGTTAGGGAGGCTGAGGACCACTGTGTTACAGGATCACAGTGTTAGGGAGGCTGAGGACCACTGTGTTACAGGATCACAGTGTTAGGGAGGCTGAGGACCATTATGTTACATGGTCTCAGTGTTAGGGAGGCTGAGGACCACTGTGTTACAGGATCACAGCGTTAGGGAGGCTGAGGACCACTGTGTTACAGGATCACAGTGTTAGGGAGGCTGAGGACCACTGTGTTACAGGATCACAGTGTTAGGGAGGCTGAGGACCACTGTGTTACAGGATCACAGTGTTGGGGAGGCTGAGGACCACTGTGTTACAGGATCACAGTGTTAGGGAGGCTGAGGTCCACTGTGTTACAGGATCACAGTGTTGGGGAGGCTGAGGACCACTGTGTTACAGGATCACAGTGTTGGGGAGGCTGAGAGCCGCAGGTCTAATGTTACAGATGAGGCATCAAGCACTGACAGCCAGGGATGGGAGGGATCTGGTCCGAGCAAGGCATCAGAGCAGAGCTCAGTTCAGGTAGCTGTGCTGCATTTCACAGTGAGTATGGTGCTGAGACAGAGGAGCCTTCTGGAGATGTGAGAGGACTCTGCAGTACAACCTTACACAGTTGTAAGTGATGATTACCCTGGAATAGACCAAACCAAACTTCCATAAACTATGAAAAAACACAACTGCAGAAGTAAGATTAGCTGCATTGTAAAAGGGATGGCCGGTTTGAGGCTGTAGCTTGTTGGAAGAGTGCTTGCTTAGCATGTGCCAAGCTTTGAGTATGATCCCCAACAATGCCCTCCCCCAAATAACTTAAAAAGTAAGCAGGACATGCTGAAGAAAATGAAAAGTAATCGAATTGTAGTTTATAAAACATTAGCAGAAAACATGTAAAGGTCATTTGAATGGGACACAGTTTTTATTTTTATCTGTTTACTCTGTGAGTGGAAAAGTTTTCTGTTTGTCCCATGCATTCCGAGTTTTCAGTTCTGAGAATGTAACGTTTGAAACGTTAGGATTTTAGCCATTTGATTTTACAAAACTTGTAATCTTAGATAGTAGTGGATTTTTTTTTTTTTAAGCAAAAGAATTCAGTGTCCATTATCCTCTCTATGCAGTGGTTTCATGAATGAACCTCATCATTTTACATTTGGACAGTGTGTCTGCTTGTTCTAGTGTTGACATGGCTGCCGCCTGTCTCTGACCTGTGTGTTTACGAAGCACAGCCATTAGGAGCATCGTCTTTCTGTATTTACTCATCCCTTCTTTACTTCGTCCATAACTTCCTTTTATCTCATTTACTCCAGTGCTTTTCTAAGTGCAAGGGATACAGCAGTGAACAAAACATGTGTTAGGTGTCCCTGAAATATGTTAGATGTCTTCCCTCTGGTGAGAGGGGACAGCAGGTGATCAGCTAGTTCAATGTGAGGACAAGTTGTGTGAAGTTTATCCTTGTGTGTTTCCTTCTGCCCGAAGTGAGTGAAAAAGACTCAGAGTATCGTTATTTTTATCTAAAACCTTGCTTGTAGAGGTCTATAGTTCTGCAGATAATGTGGAACTTCATGAACATGTGTACACACATGTATATAGTTTTATCAATCCTGAAACGTTTAGTTCAGTATATCTGTTTATATATGAAAGTATTTTATTCAATTTTGATATATTTTATGGTTTGTAATAACATAACCTTCCCATATGATACTTTATGATATTTCATTATTTTATGACATTGACCTAATATTTCTATTGTTAAATATCACATTGGTGTTCATGGACTATCCTAGAAACTTGTTATTTAAAGTTCTTCAATTTATACACTTTTAAAAATTCTAGGTATTTTTTGTTGCTACTGAACATTTTAGATTTAGTGGGCTCACAAAGATGTGTTACTAATTCCATGAGAACATCTTGGTCAAACCTATCATTTAAATTGATACAAACTTTCCCTTTGGCTTAGTTACTTTCTTTCTGTGACCAAATGCCACAGTGAAGGTAACATATGTAAAAAAGGGTTACAGTCCAGGACCATCTGTGCAGGGATTATGCAACAGGCAGGCAGCCTGGAGAAGGAGCCGAGAATTCACATCTGAGCTCACTGACTGGCCTGGGCTTTTGAAACCCCAAAGTTCACCCCCCAGTGACATACCTCCTCCAACAAGGCCTCACCCCCTGATCCTTCCCAAACAGTTGCACTAACTGAGGAACGAGCATTCAAATGTATGAACCTATGGGGGCCATCCTCATTACCCTCCTCACCCTTCATAGTGTCTTCATCTTGTAACTTCTTTAATGAGCATATTTAGGAATGAGTAAAACTAATTTGCCACATTCATCTTATTTAATGAAATTAGTGAGTATTATAATCCTCTTGAGTTTCAAGGGTTTATATGTAAGGAAAGTCAATAGATAAAAATATTTCATGTTCCAACTAGAGAATAGTCTTTCCAGTTTATATTTTCATAAATGATGAAGTCAAATTTAGTCTGTTAAATCATACCACTTTAGTTATGCCTTTGGTTTGAAAATCTAATTTTAGGATTTCAAATGTGCCTTCAAAAAAGCCTTAGTTACTCAATGGAGACCTTAAGTGGATTTATTTATTTACTTTTTAATTCAAATTCTTTTCTTTAGCCTATTATTCCTATGTTTACACAAAATATTCGAGAAGGATTTAGATCACTTGGAGGAACAAGTAAGTTCTCATTCATATGGTTTTTAATTATAGTATAATCTATAAAACAGGTATTTTGAACATTATTAGGAAAATGATTTTTTTTTCCTGTTTTTGAGACAGGATCTCACTGTGTAGTTCTGAATATCCTAGAACTCACTGTGTAAACCAGGCTGGCCCCAAACTCACAAAGGTCCTTCTGCCTCTGCCTCCCAAGTACTGGGATTAAAGGTGTACATCACTACACTTGGCAACTTTTGAATTATTAATTTTAGAAAATGAATATTTAGATACTGTTCTTTATAAACTCTGAGTGATAATTGGTTCTAAATAGTGGCAGTTATTATGTTGTAGGGACTGGGGCTGGCCTCAAATTTGTGATTTTCATGCTTTAGCCTCCTGAGTGTTTGGTAGACATTATGTTTTTGTTGAGGTTGTTTAAATTTTTAAAACTTCAAAGTGATTCATCTGACGTATCGCATTAAATTATGTTGATAAGATTTAGAATATGTTTATATAACATCAACTGAAGAAAGTAGCTTTCAAATTGGATGACCTACATATTAAACTAAGATTGACATCAAAGGAGATGGGAATGTCATTTGCTTTGGTTATCCTATTAATGTAAATAAAATTGCAAACCATAATATGCTTATATTGGTAAGTTCTTTTATCTGTCTTAGTTTAGTAATTAAAAATTCAGCTTATATATAGATTTATATAGATGTAAGAATAAACGTTAGAATTTTTTTCCTTTAAAATGTCTCTCATTTTGAAATGTTCAGTTTATTGGTTATATATTATGTTCAGTTGAATATATTTTTTGTAACTGTTGCTGTTCCTATCCACATAAAAACCCCTTAGCAAACCTTAAATTGCTATTGTTTTAACTCATTTTTTATATTTAACTTTAGAAATTATTTCTAATTTTTTGTTAATCTTTTAAATAGCAAATCAGAAATTATTACAGAAATTTTGTTTCAATTACAAATTATTTTCAAAATTTTATTTACTTTTTATAAATCTTAGTATCTCTAAATTAAGTGTCTGTGTCCTTTATTGTTTACTTTTGAGGCACAGTGTCACTGGTGCAGCACTGGCTGGCCTGGATCTTGTTCTGTAGACTCACAGAAACTCACCTGCTTCTGTCCCTGTCCCCACCAGTGATGGAACTATAGGCATGCATCATCGTACCTGGTTAATTGTAATTTTTAAAAGTGTTACTTTGTGTGTGACAGTAATTTTTCTGTTTTTACATGTAATCTGTTTTCAGGACATAACTATGTATTTCTTGAAACTTACCTATTTGGATTCCATTGTTGCGGTTTTTGAGTTTTAGCCTTCTCCAGTTACTTTTAATACCTCTAAGTCTGACCCTGCTGAGTCTGAAGTGTCATCATCTCTAGCAGGCTGTGTGTGCTGCTGCATGAACTGGGCCTGTGCTACTTTGTCTTTTCTTTTGTACTTGTAAATCACTGGCTCTGCATCCCTGAACGCTTGAGCTTCCAGCTTTGCTGGCCCTTATCAGCCTTTGTTCTCCAGTAATAGTCACTGGTTTGTCTTCTGAGATTCTCTTAATGAATTGATTTAATTTTTCCTTTTTTTTTTTTAAAAATGTATAGGAAAACTGAGTACCAAGTACAAACAATTCTTATATGTCTCTTCAGCAGTCTCTAGGCTCTATCCTGATGAGCTCATTGCACCAGTGTGCTGCATTTCTTATAGCTGATGAAAAGCTCCCATTTAGAAAATGCTCTGCTGGTCATATAGCTCAGTAGTAGATAACTTGCTTAGTACATGTGAGAACTGTATTCAGCCTCCAGCTTCAGAATCACACACACACACACACACACACACACACACACACACACACACACACACAGACACACACACACCTGCACACACATGCACACAGACACACAAACACACACACATGCACACACATGCACACAGAAACACACAGACACACACAGACACACAAACATACACAGACACATGCACACGCACATACATGCACACGCACATGCAGGCACACACACACACACAGGCATGTTTGCTGAGAACTAGTATTTTTGTGACCTTCCTGCAAGTCTTGTGTAATTAATTAGAAAGTTCATAATTCTGTGCATACAACATTTGGCTAATAAAGTGATTTTGCTTACTTTAAAACAGGATTATTTAAGTGGCTTTATGAAAAATTCCGCTATCCATTTGCTCCGATGTATGGAGGCTTTCCCGTGAAGTTGCGGACCTACTTAGGAGATCCCATTCCTTATGACCCAAAGATAACAGCAGAAGAGCTAGCTGAAAAGGTAATTTGTGATTTCTTTCTTAGTCTTAGGACAGAGTTTTGTTTTAAATCATTTGAAATTTCATTGTTTATATATTATATCCCAGAAATGTTCAAACCGTGATTTTTGCCCCATTGGAGACACTTAGCAAGGCCCAGTGACATCTTTACTGCCATGAGAGTGTGGATGGAGGTGACTGTAGACATTTAGTGTTTAGGAGCCAGGGATAGATATGTAGGCATCTGTCAGGAACCTGGAAATATGTTTCTGTATCTAAATTTTTTATAATAAGAATGAGGATTAAGGAAAAAGATGGGATTGATGGTAACGACTTAGAAGTCAGGTTCTGTGCAGTGTGACTGGAAGCCTCGAGGTCTGCAAGGCAGAAGTTGGTGGGGATTTGGAAAACGTTAAGTGATCTAGCAGAGAGAGAGAGTCATGAGGATGAGAAAAGGCTGCTCCGATTGGAGGGATTAAGCTTTGAAAGAATTTGAAAAAAGAGCAATAATCTAGCCTGACTCATGCTAGACAAGTGCTGTACCACTGAGCCACATCCCTTGCTGTGTCTGTTTTGATTATAACCTTTGCACCAACCTTTCTATACTACACTAGTGATATTCCTTTAAAACATTTTGAATTGTGATGGAAAATATGTGACTTTGCTGGGCATGATGATGCACAATTAATGTAATATTAATCCCAGCCCTGGGTCTCTGTGAGTTTATGGTCTGTATAGTTAGACTCTGTCTTAATCAAAGCAAGATGAAACAAAACAAAACAAAAATAGGTATACTTACAATTCAGGTCTGTTAAATACATCCATGTTTATCCTGAAGATTTTTACGATGAAACAATTGAGTCTGTTCCCACTGAACCCCTTCCCATTTCTCCCCCAAACCTGAAATACTAAAATTACTAGAGGAAGGCATAGGCTTTCTTGCCCTGCTAGTAATGGGTGTGGGAGGGAAGTTCCTTTGCATAACATGAAAATCCTACAAGATGATTGATGTGTACCAACAGTGGCTTTTCTTTTGTTTTCTAATTAGACCAAGAATGCTGTTCAAGCCCTGATTGATAAGCACCAAAGGATACCGGGGAACATTAGAAGTGCGCTGCTGGACCGCTTCCATAGAGAGCAGCAGGCTCATTAGCAGGTGATTTACTGTGTCTGTAATGACATACTCACATCTACTCAACTGTCTTTTACATTTTTGTAGGTTGTGTAATAGTGATTCTAAAACATCATGTTAATAGGCGTCTTCCTTAGAACTTGTTTATTTAAGTTTGTATTATTAATTTGTCCTGTCAATCAGTTGTGTCAAATTTAATAAGTAACTCACCACTTGCCTGACCCAGAAAATGATCATGTTGCATTTGCAATCTTTAGTAGTATATGATAAGCATAAGTCTTAGAGTAAATTTTTCCTAATATCAGCAGGTTAAGCAGGCTTTCCTAAATTATGTCAATTGTGCTGGAATGATCATAAGAAAGTGCATGTATTAGGGTTAGTACTTGCTTAGTTTAGATGAGAGATACCTGTATCTATCTGCCCTTCATTCCAGACACAACTGCGGGTAAGTTGTGGAATGCTTTTGTACCTCGATGATTTGTTTTAAGCATGATACAATTATGGTGACGAACATTACTTTAAGTTGCTATGTCTACTGTGATATCTGTAATGTGGGAGCTATAACTGAATCAATTCCTGAATCCTTTAGGAGTTATGTACATTTTTTTGTTCTTTGGGTATTGAAGCAACTCCTTCAGGTGTGATGTCCAGTTGCCAAGCACATTGAAAGAGATATACTGTTTTATAAATCAAGACATTGTTATCTGTAGTATTTATTTACTGAATTGTTTAGTATTTATTTTAAACAAGTATCTAAGTGAATATATAGGATGAGTTGTCAGCATGGTGTTTTATGGTGTAAGGATAGACTAGTGGTCACGCTCTGCACTTAGCATTAGATGCTGATTCTAGGCTCAAGAATAATGAACAAGAAGGCTCTGGTTTTGTTTCATATCATGGTTTATTTTGCTGGGCTTTGCAGCCAGTCATGTGGCTTATTATTTCAATAGAATGTTGTTGAAAGATGGAGCCCTCTGAAAATGTAATGGTATTTGATTTGTCATCGCCTTGAAAATTGATTTTAAAAGTATTTAAACATCAAAGTGTCATAAATCTGCTGCAGTATGTCCCTTCCCACCTTTGTAGCACTTGGGTTTTATATGAACTTTTTAATTACAAGTGTGTATCTATGACACATATATACATATATATGTATGTATATGTATGTATAAAATGTATATAGAAATGATGTGAAAAATAAAGCTGAATTGCAACTCATTCCCTTGTGAAATTGTGTGTGTGAGACGTCATTTTACAATAATACCTTTGTTTTACTCTCCTTATTGCCCATCATCCGTGTCTTTTATCTTAGCCACAGTAATGTGCAGTGTACTTCCCATGCAGTTTTCAGAGGCGGTTGCTATAAAAGGAGTCAGTTTGCTGTTTCCCCCCTTCTGTCAGTGAACCTTACTGGGCTCAAAGTTGTTAAATGGTTCCAAAATAAATGGATAAAATTCTATAAAGTGAACAGGAAAACTATTTTGAACGATCAGTTGGTTTTAAAGATGTTGCAAAAAGTGGCCTTTCCCCCAGTGCTTATTCAAAGTAATCTTAGGTTCCTGGTACTCACAGTGTCGGGGTCCCATCCTGATTGATGCGTTTTTATCTGTGCTGCCTGAACTTAAATCCCCCTTGTAAGATCCAAGGTCTTTGATTTGCTACAGACATGGAGGTCATGATGGAGGGGGTGCATTAGCGCCTGACTTATTTTCAGGCCAGTGTTTACAGTTAGCCCTATGCCTGCGTGAAGGGACTTTGGAAGGTTGACCCTGATCTGCTTTGCAGGGAAACGTTTCAGACCCCCTTTAAAAACTTGTACTTAGAACAAAAAGAATCTCCAACTTTCCAGTGTTACAGTCATGGTAGACAAACTCCGCGTACTCGGCCATAGCCAGCACTTGCTAGAATGTCACTTGTTCCGTTTTCCTCCCACACTGTTTCCCTCTGCCCACATCCATATCTCGTTCTTTTTCTGCTCCGAACAGAACTATGCTCAGTAAAGTAGGACTTCATCATTACTGGAGTAGTTTTGTGTACAGACCGTGCATTGGTTTTCATGGGCTGTCAAGATGGCTTAACAGGGAAAGGCACTTGCCACCAAGCATGTATTCAATCCTTGGGTCCCACATGGTGGAAGGAAAAGGCCAGCACCTGCAGGTTGTTCTCTGACTGCCATGGCATGTTTACTGTGGCTTCTGTTTGCACACACACACACACACACACACACACACACACACACAGTAAAGTAATTTTTAAAAATTCAAGTTTAACTAGTTTTTCACAGTAATGGTTCTGTCAGATGCTCCTTGTGCTCCATCCTCCACAGGAGACTTGCATACTGGCTTTAGTTTTCTAGCTTCTTTAGTCCCTTTGTAATCTGGTGTGATTTCTCAGCCCTACTTTGTCTTTACTGAGAATTTGGAACGGAGGGAATGGCTGTTTCCTAGTTAAGCCCTTAATTTATTTTATTTTTCTGATGCTCTATCGGGATTTGATTCAGGATGTGGGCTTTATGAGCGAATCACGAGGTGCCTGTTGATCTGTGTCTGTGTCATTTGTAATCGTAGTGAACTATGTACCATTCTTTCCTGAAAGTTATTTTCCTCCTTTTAATCAGTAAGTGTATGGACAGACACTTTGAGAGCATCTGTGTCTCTGACCTACCATATTGGATCTGGGGATTAAACTCCCAGATCAGGTGTGGCAGTCAGGTGTGGCAGCAAGTGTCTTTACCCGCTGAACCATCTCTCTGGCTCCATAGTGATTCATTCTCAAAAAATATGCTGTTTTCTTTTTTGTAAGATACATATAACCGCAAGGTTTTTGTTTGGTTGCTTCCCCCCCCCCCCCCCCGAGACAGGGTTTCTCTGTATAACCCTAACTGTCCTGGAACTAGTTCTTGTAGACCAGGCTGGCCTCAAACTCACAGAGTTCCACATGCCTCTGCCTCCCAAGTGCTGGGATTAAAGGCGTGCACCACCACCATCCGGTCATAACTACAGGTTTTATTGTTTGACCATGTCCAGTATTGCTTACTAGCTCACATTCACACAGTTGTGGGACTGTCTTTACAAATAATGTTCCAGAACTCTAATCATCTCAGAGAACCTGTAACAACTGAAAATCAGCTCCATCCCCCAACCCCTGCAACCTGCTCAGCTCCAAACACCTTTTCTACTTTTTGTTTGAATATGTTTGTTCACGCTGCTTAGCTCAAATAAATGGAATTCGCCTGTTGTCCTCTGTGTCTAACTTACTTTACTTTGCAGTGGTGCTTGCTGTTTTTTCTGATACTGTATTGGCAGGTGGAAAAAGTCTACAGACACTGGGGAAGAAGTACCTTAGCTAAGAAAACGCCCCTGCCAAATTGGCCTGTGGGAAAGCCTGTGTAGGATTTTCTTAATGATTGATGTGGGTGGCCCATCCCACAGGAGGTGGTGCCACCTCTGGGTGGCTGGTCTTGGGTGGTATCAGAAAGCAAGAGCAAGCCAGTCAGCAGACTTCTGCTTTAGTTCTTGATTCCAAGTTCCTGCCCAGCATGAGTTCCTGTCGTGATTTCCCTCAAAGTAAGATGAAATACACACTTTTCTTGCCCAAGTTGCTTTTGGTCAGGATGCAATAAAAACCCTAAGACAGATAACAAATACACCAGAAAAACTACTTGCTGCTCTTCAGTTTTAATTGACACCAACATCAAGGTGTGAACACAGATCTCACCATATGATGCCTCATTCCCTTAAAAGACTACCCCCACTCCAGATGACAGACACAATTGCGGTCCCCAGGCAACCCTTACTTTTGCCTGTCCAATAACTCACTGAAAGGTTCTCACAACCTTCCTGGAGCAGTCCACAGCACTCAGGAAGGAGCGATACTAATTTCATTATAAAGGAAGCAATGCAGGAAATCACTGAAGTGTAAGCTGAGAACAGGGTTACAAAGCCTGCAAGTCCTCTTAGTGTTTAACCCATTCAGTACACCCTTGCCCACTCCAGTCTGGATTCCCCCAAGCTTCATGATGGAGTTGTTCAGTTATTGGCCACAGGTGATTGAAACCTACTTACATCCCTGCCCATCTGCTGAGGTTGGGTGGATGAAAGTACTTAGTCTTGTTGTGTAGCCTTCCAGCTATCTTTCGAAAGCTCAGTGTGGATCTTCTGCTGTGGGTTGCCTCATTAACATGCAAGAGGCATTCCTGTTTATGAAATTCTAAGCTAGGCATGGTGGCACACACCTGTAATCTCAGGATATAAGAGGCTGAGGCAAGAGGAAAAAGAAATGAGGCCAACATAGTTTGCTTTAGGCCCTGTCCCCCAAATGGAAAATGCACACACATATCAAGCTAACAAAGATCATATACATATATTTATATGTTTGTACATGTGTGTAAATGTGTATTTCTATGTTTGTACATGTGTGTGTAAATATATAGATATGTATATACGTATATTTCCTATACGTGAAAACGTTTTCATGTCTCATCCATGTTATGGCATGTTAAAATTTCATTGTCTTCTTATGGCTAAAATATCCATTGTATGTGTATCTTGTATTTTATTCATCTGGTGGCGTCCATTCAGATTATTTTAGCCTTCCAGTGACTGAATAACGTGTAAATATTGCTATACAGGCATACATTGCTACCTTTAATTTTTTATGTTAATACTGTTGTTCCTGGATCTATGGTGACAAGATGGCATGGGAGTAAAAGCAGCAGAGGATGGAGGATATAACAGCTGTAGCGAGCTTGTCTAGCACACACGAAGTACAATCTACAGTTGGGGTGGGGGAGGGCGGTGTGGCGGTGTGAATGAGAATGGTCCCATGTCTTCACACATTTGAATGCTGGTTCTCATTTGGGGGAACTGAGAAGAATTAGGTGTGTAAACTTGTTGGAGGAGGTGTGTTACCAGGAGCGGACTTAGAGGTTTCAAAAGCTCACACCTGTTCCACCTCTCTCTGCTTGGTGCTTGTGGATGGAGATGTGAACTGTCAGCGGATCAGTTGCCATTCCATTCCTGCCCACTGCCATGCTCTCCACCATGAAAGTCATGAACTTTAACCCTGTGGAACTGTGAGTCCCAAATTGAGTGCTTTGCTTTGTTAAAACAACGAGAAAGTAACTAAGACAGACATAAGGGGAAAAAGGAAAATTGAGGCCAGGAGATAGATTGGTTGATAAATTGCTTGCCACAATTTGGGGGCCACTATTTGATCACTAGGGCCCAAGGACAGAAGTTGGGCATGGAGATGTGTGCATGTAATCCACACACTGAGGAGATCAGGGAGAGCCTTGAGTCTCACTGGCCAGTGAGCCTAACTGCATCAATAACTCCAGGTCAGTGTGAAATCCTGTCTCAGAAACAACAAAATGAAACAAGGTAAATGACTTGTGAGGTGTGGCAGCTACAGTTGTCTTCTGTCTTACTCATGTGAACACATGCATGCATGCGTGCGAGCACACACACACACACACACACACACACACACACCAGGATTTATTAGACCAGAATAGTTAGGAA